GGCGTGCCGGGAGCCAGTTGGGTTTATGCAAACTGAAAGAGGCGCCGTGTCGTGGTGGAGCCGTTCCCTGCGGGATGAGGTGCTAGAGGTGACATCCGGGCGTGGGCTCAGCCAGGTGTCCCCAGTGCTTGGCCAGGTGTGTGGTCATGGTGCTTGGATAGGTGTGTGGTCACGGTGCTCAGCCACGGTGCTCGGGCAGGTGTTTGGTCACCATATGGTCATGGTGCTTGGACAGGGTGCTCAGCCAGGTGTCCACAGTGCTCGGACAGGTGTGTGGTCATGGTGCTCAACCACGGTGCTTGGACAAATGTGTGGTCATGGTGCTTGGACAGGTGTGTGGTCATGGTGCTCAACCACGGTGCTTGGACAAATGTGTGGTCATTGTGCTTGGACAGGTGTGTGGTCATGGTGCTCAACCACAGTGCTCGGACAGGTGTGTGGTCATGGTGCTTGGCCATGGTGCTCAGCCAGGTGTGTGGTCATGGCACTCAACCACGGTGCTCAGCCAGGTGTGTGGTCATGGTGCTCAGCCACAGCACTCAGACAGGGTGCTTGGACATGGCATATGGACATAAGTGCTTGGACACGGTGCTCGGTCACACATCGTAGACGCGGTGCTTGGACTCGGTGCTCAGGCTCAAAATGCTCGGCCACAGGTCATGGACATGGTGCTCGGACATGGTGCTCAGCCACAGGTCATGGATGTGGGGTGGTCTTGGATGTGGTGCTCAGGAACAGCGCTCGGCCACTCCTTGTGGACACGGTGCTCGGCCGTGGCGCTTGGCCGTGGTGCTCAGTGCGGTGCTCAGACGTGGTGCGTGGACGTGGTGCTCGGTCCCCATGCTTGGCCACTCACGATGGACGTGGTGCTCGGACACGGTGCTTGGACATGGTGCTCGTTGCAGTGCTTGGCCACTCATGATGGACATGATGGTCAGACGTGGTGCTCAGACATGGTGCTTGGACGTGTCCTTGGGCGCGCATTGTGGACACGGTGCTCGGGCATGGTGCTCGGATGTGGTGCGTGGACATGGTGCTGTGTTTGGTGCTTGGACTTGGTCATGGACGTGGTGCTTGGGCACGGTGCTCTGCTGTGGTGCTCAGACATGGTGGACATGTTCTCGGACGTGGTGCATGGACATGGTGCTCGGGCATGGTGCTCAGCCATGCACCATGGACGTGGTGCTCAGCCGTGGTGCTCAGACATGACGTGTGGACAGTGCTTGACCGCAGTGCTCGGACCTGGTGCTTGGACACGCTGAGTGGACATTGGTGCTCGGACATGGTGAGTGGACATGGTGCATGGATATTGGTGCTCAGGCATGCTGGACATTGGTGCTCGGACATGGCGAGTGGACATTGGTGCTCGGCCACGCACTGTGGACATGGTGCTCAGGTGCGGTGCTGGGTGGACACGGTGCTCAGACGTGGTACACGGACACGGGTGCTCTGCTTGGTGCTTGGACTCAACTCGGTGCTTGGCCACGGTTCCTGGACCCATGCTCGGCCATGGTGCTCGGCCACAATGGGGTTTGACGGCGTGTTGTGGACATGGTGCTTGAGCGTGGTGCTCCATGGTGGTGCTGGGGCAGGTGTGTGGACATGGCACTTGGCCACACGCCCTGGACACGGTGCTCGGACATGGGGTGTGGACACGGTGCTCGGCCACAGGGTGTGAACATGGTGCTCGGACACGGTGTGTGGACACGGTGCTCAGACACAGCATGCGGACACGGTGCTCAGACACGGTGTGTGGACACGGTGGTTGGGCATGGAGCATGGACATGGTGCTCAGACATGGAGCATGGACACAGTGGTTGGGCACAGAACACGGACGCGGTGGTTGCTCACCCTGCACGGGCATGGAGCATGGACACGGTGGTTGCCCAGAGCATGGACACCATGGCTGGACACAGAGCATGGACACGGTGGTTGGGCATGGAGCATGGACACGGTGGTTGCCCAGAGCATGGACACGGTGGTTGCCCACACTGCATGGGCACAGAGCATGGACACGGTGGTTGGGCATGGAGCATGGACACGGTGGTTGCCCACACTGCATGGGCACAGAGCATGGACACGGTGGTTGCCCACGCTGCACGGGCATGGCACACAGCTCGGTGCTGCTTGGGCACTCCCCATCCGGGCCCGGTCCTGGAGCTGTTCCTCTTCAGCACCAACCTTGAGCAGCCAACCTTGAGCAGCCAACCCCACCCTGCACTCCTGGTGCTCAGCACTGCGCCAGCCCCATGTCCATCTCTGTGTCCCTCACCATGTCCCTCACCGTGTCCATCACCATGTCCCTCACCGTGTCCATCCCGTGTCCATCTCCGTGTCCCTCACCATGTCCATCACCATGTCCATCACTGTGTCCATCCCCATGTCCATCCCGTGTCCATCCCGTGTCCATCCCGTGTCCAGCCCTGTCCAGGCTCCCGCAGCTCCTCGCTCTCTCCGCGCTCCTCCCGCCTCTTTCTTTTCCCCTTCCCGTTTTTTTGGGTTGATTTTCCTTTTTTTGGGGTTTCTTGGTGCTACTCCCCCCCCGCGCCCCCAGCAGATACCTCAGCCCCAGCCCGGGTGCAGCTTCTCCGGGATCAGGGATCCTTTCCCCGATTTCTGGGATCCTTTCCCCAATTTCTGGGATCCTTTCCCCAATTTCTGGGATCCTTTCCCCAATTTCTGGGATCCTTTCCCAAATTTCCAGGATCCTTTCCCACATTCTTGAGATCCTTTTTCCTGCATTTCCGAGATCCTTTCCCGCATTTCCAGGATCCTTTCCTGAATTTCCAGAATCCTTTTTCCCGAATTTCTGGGGTCTGGGATCCTTTTGGGGTTTCCTCCTCCGTTTCCCTCCTTTTCCCATTTCCACCCGGGTTTTCCCCATTTCTGCGCCTCCTTCAGGGATTTCCGACCCCGCCGCGATTTCCTCATTTGGGTGCCGGGAGCGAGGAGGGGCTGTGGGGCCATGGGATCCTTCATTTGGGAATTAAATGTCATTTATTTTATTTTATTTTATTTTATTTTATTTTATTTTATTTTATTTTATTTTATTTTATTTTATTTTATTTTATTTTATTTTATTTCATTTCATTTCATTTCATTTCATTTTATTTTATTTTATTTTACTTTATTTTTTTGCACCGTGGCAATTCCAAATTAACTACCCAAGTGTGTTTCTTGTGGGATTCGGGAATTTGGCTGGAGGGGGGACCTTGCCAGCATTTTTGGGATTTTTTTTTTATTTTTTGGATTTTTTTTTTTTTTAATTTATTTTGGTATTTTTTTGGGGCTGTTCTGGTGCTTTTTGGGATTTATTTGGGGATTTTTTCAGGGTTATTGCGGTGCTGTTTGGGATTTATTTTGCGATGTTTTCTGGGTTATTCCAGTGATTTTTGGGATTTATTTTGGGTTTATTTTGGGGCTGTTCCGGCGATTTTTGGGGTTTATTTTGGGATTTATTTTGGGGATATTTTTGGGGTTATTCTGGTGCTTTTTGGGATTTATTTTGGGATATTTTTGGGGCTGTTCCGGCTCTGTTTGGGGTTTATTTTGGGGCTGTTCCGGCTCTGTTTGGGGTTTATTTTGGGATTTATTTTGGGATATTTTTGGGGCTGTTCCGGCGCTGTTTGGGGTTTATTTTGGGGCTGTTCCGGCTCTGTTTGGGGTTTATTTTGGGATTTATTTTGGGGATATTTTTGGGGTTATTCCAGCGATTTTTGGGATTTATTTTGGGATATTTTTGGGGCTGTTCCGGTGCTGTTTGGGGTTTATTTTGGGATTTATTTTGGGGATATTTTTGGGGCTGTTCCGGCGCTGTTTGGGGTTTATTTTGGGATTTATTTTGGGATATTTTTGGGGCTGTTCCGGTGCTGTTTGGGGTTTATTTTGGGGCTGTTCCGGCTCTGTTTGGGGTTTTTCGGGGCGGTGGCAGCTGCGGGGAGGCACCGCGGGGATCCCAAATCCCTTTAGGATTTCTGGCTGGGCTCGCACTGGGGTTACTTGAAATGAAGTTTTGGGGGCGGATCGAGGAGCGATAGAATTTTTCCCACGTCTCAAGGCAATAGGATTAATTAATGAATGAATTAATTAACGTGTAATTAAACTGTAGATACTCCTAGGACGGGAAATTGATGCCGATTATTTTATTTTGTATCGTTTTTCCCTTTTTGTGTTGTTTTTCCCCTTTGCCCTCCTTTGCTTTCCCCCAGTGTTTCAATAAATTTATTTTTTAGGATTCCTAAAAATGGCAAGTTCAGATCCTTCCCCCCCGGTTTTGCTTTTGTTTTTTGGTTTTTTTTTTTTGTTCTGGTGTTGTTTATTTTTCATTCGTATTTGATTCTGAGTTGGGCTGTGTTATTATTCCCGATACCTTTAAAATATTGTGGGTGTTTTAATAAATTTTATATTTATTTTTTGCACTCAACACGAGGCTTGGCTGCAGTTCCTGTGGGATTGGGGTTTTGGGCTTGGGGTTTTTGGGGTTTTGGGGGTTTTGGGGTTTTGGGGTTTTTGGGGGTTTTGGGGACTTTTTGGGGTTTTTGTTTTTTTGGGGTTTTTGGGTTTTTGGGGTTTTGGGTTTTTTTTGGGTTTGGGATTGGGGTTTTTGGGATTGAGGTTTTTGGGGGGTTTGGGATTGAGGTTTTTGGGGTTGGGGGCTTTGGGTATGGGGACTCCTCTGGGTAAGGAGGGGACCTTTCGTGGGGTCAGGATGGGACTTTTTGTGGGGGCAGGAGGGGACCCTTTATGGGGTTAAGAGGGGTCTTTTTTGGGGTCACGTTGGGGTTTTTTTGGGGTCAGGAGGGGGTTTTTTGGGGGGATCACAATGGGGTTTTTTTGGGGCCAGTTGGGGCTTTTTTGGGGTCAGTTAGGGACCCTTTATAGGGTTAAGAAGGGGATTTTTTGGGGTCAGTCGGGATTTTTTGGGGCGCCCTTGGGGCGGCACCGCCCCCCCCCCCCAGGTCCTCCGAGCCACCGGGGGGCGCTGCAGCGGCGCTGGCCCCGCCCCTTCTGCCAGCGGCGCGCTCTGATTGGCTGAGGCGGAGGTGACCCGGGCACGCCCCCGGCATGGCGGCGGCGGGGCTGAGCCGGGCCCCGGTGAGTGAGCGGCGGGCCCGAGTCCCTCTGTCGGTGTCCCTCTGTCCCTGTGTCCCTGTCCCTCTGTCCCCGTGTCCCTCTCTGTGTCTCCCCGGTGTCGGTAACCGCGGCCCGTTCCCCCTCCCGCTGTCCGGGCCCTCTTCCCCGCCCTTTCCCGGTGTTCCCCTTTTCCCGGTACCGCTCCCGGTGCTTCCGCTCCTCCCGATGTCCCCCGGGCACAGAGAACCCCAAAACCGCCGCGCCCCAGCCCCCGATCGTTCGGTGAGGGCAGCTCCCGTTCCCAGCACTTCTCCTCGTCCCGGTTCAGTCCCATTTCCCGGTTCAATTCCATCTCCCGGTTCAATTCCATCTCCCGGTTTGCCACAACTTCTTCTGCCCCCTCCAGTACCTTCCCCTTCCCCTTCCCCTTCCCTTCCCTTCCCTTCCCTTCCCTTCCCTTCCCTTCCCTTCCCTTCCCTTCCCTTCCCTTCCCTTCCCTTCCCTTCCCTTCCCTTCCCTTCCCTTCCCTTCCCTTCCCTCCCCCGTTCCCGGGGTGTTTCGGGGTCCCTCAGGGCCGTTTCCCGTCCCTGGGCTGTTTTTGGGGTCCCTCAGGGCCGTTTCCCGTCCCTGGGCTGGTTTTGGGGTCCCTCAGGGCCGTTTCCCGTCCCTGGGCTGGTTTTGGGGTCCCTCAGGGCCGTTTCCCCGTCCCTGGGCTGTTTTTGGGGTCCCTCAGGGCCGTTTCCCGTCCCTGGGCGGTTTTTGGGGTCCCTCAGGGCCGTTTCCCGTCCCTGGGCTGTTTTTGGGGTGTTTTGGGGTCCCTCAGGGCCGTTTCTGTCCCCAGCTCTGGCTGCGCTGCCGCGGCTGGCGGGGTCTGGCCTCGGGCACGGACGGGGAGTCGCGCCTGGCGCAGCTGCTGCGGGAGAAGTTCCCGCACGCCTCGGCCATCAAGGTGGTGGATATCTCAGGTACGGGCTGAACCTGCTCCTAAACCTGCTCTTTGTGATCCTAAACCTGCTCCTAAACTGCTCCTGTGCTCCTAAACCCGCTCCTAAACCCGCTCTTGGTGCTCCTAAACCGGTCTTGTGTGCCTAAACCCGCTCTTTGTGATCCTAAACCCGCTCCTAAACTGCTCCTGTGCTCCTAAACCTGTTCTTTGTGCTCCTAAACCCCTCCTGTGTGCCTAAACCCGCTCCTGTGCTCCTAAACCTGCTCTTTGTGATCCTAAACCCGCTCCTGAACCGCTCCTGAGCTCCTAAACCCACTCATTACAGCCCCAAACCCACTCTTGGTTGCCCTAAGCTCTCTCATTATTGCCCAAAGCCATTCATGGCTGCCCAAGCCCCGTTTTTAGGGGGAGCCCCGTCAGTCTCCAGCCCCCCCTGGGCTGCGGGGACCCCCAGCTGGGGCAGGAGCGTGAGGGTGCTGAAACCTGGACTTTAATTGGCATTAATGAGCGTTAATTGGGCCGGGTGGCCAGGGGGCTGCGGCGACATGTACGAGATCCACGTGGAGTCGGAGGAGTTCCGGGAGAAGCGGCCGGTGCAGCAGCACAGGATGGTGACACAGGTGGGGGACGGGGAGAGGGGACGGGGAGAGGGACAGGGAACAGGTAGGGGGAATGGGGAACGGGAGAGAGGATGGCAAGAAGGAGAGGGGATGGGGAATGGGGAGAGGGGATGGGAGAGAAGGAACGGGGCAGAGGGACGCTGTGGGGCTGGGGGTGCAGCAGCCCTGGGTGTGGGGCTGGGGCTGCCCCGAGCCCTGAGCCGCTCCTGAGCCGCACTTGCCCTGCAGGCCCTGAGCGAGGAGATCAAGCACATGCACGGCCTGCGCATCTTCACCTCGGCCCCGAAGGCCTGAAAAATGGCTCCAGGAGAGACCCCAGCCCCAAAAATGGCACCAGGAGAGACCCCAGCCCCAAAAATGGCTCCAGGAAGGCACCAGGGCTGCCCCCAGCCCCAGTAAAGAGCTGCAGGAGGGGCCCAGGGCTGCCCCCCTGGCTGCAAACCCCACCCAGTGTTGTGTGTTCAATCCTTGTGGGATGGGAGAAGGAGAGGAGAAACTCCTTTTCCTCCGAAAGAAGAGCGGGAAGGAACTTGATTATTATTATTTTATTATTCTTTTATTATTATTCAGGGCCAGGACAGGGACAGCCCACCCTGGGGCCTGGCACTTCTCCCAGCCCCATTTCGGGGGTCCCAGCCCCATGGGGAGGGGTCTCTAGGGGTCCCAGCCCCATTTCGGGGGGTCCCAGCCCCATGGGGAGAGGGCTGTGGGGGGTCCCAGCCCCATTTCGGGGGTCCCAGCCCCATTTTGGGGGTCCCAGCCCCATTTTGGGGGGTCCCAGCCCCATTTTGGGGTTCCCAGTCCCATTTCGGGGGTCCCAGCCCCATTTCGGGGGGTCCCAGCCCCATTTCGTGGGTCCCAGCCCCATTTCGGGGGTCCCAGCCCCATTTCGGGGTGCCCCAGCCTCATTTCGGGGGGGTCCCAGCCCCATTTCGGGGGGTCCTGGTCCATGGGGAGGGGTTTCAGGGGGTCCCAGCCCCATTTCGGGGTGCCCCAGCCCCATTTCGGGGTGCCCCAGCCCCATGAGGAGGGGTCCCAGCCCCATTTCGGAGGTCCCAGCCCCACGGGGAGGGGGCTGTGGGGGTCCCAGCCCCATTTTGGGGGTCCCAGCCCATTTTGGGGGTCCCAGCCCCATTTCGGGGTGCCCCAGCCCCATTTCGGGGGATCTCAGCCCCATTTCGGGGTGCCCCAGCCCCATTTTGGGGGGTCCCAGCCCCATTTTGGGGGTCCCAGCCCCATTTCGGGGGGTCCCTGTGGGGGTCCCAGCCCCATGTCTGGGGGTCCCAGCCCCATTTCGGGGGTCCCCAGCCCCATTTTGGGGGTTCCAGCCCCATTTCGGGGGGTCCCTGTGGGGGTCCCAGCCCCATTTCGGGGGTCCCAGCCCCATTTCGGGGGGTCCCTCTGGGGGTCCCAGCCCCATTTCGGGGGGTCTCAGCCCCATTTCGGGGGTCCCAGCCCCATTTCGGGGGGGGTCCCAGCCCCATTTTGGGGGGTCCCAGCCCCATTTCGGGGGTCCCAGCCCCATTTCGGGGGGGGTCTCAGCCCCATTTCGGGGGTCCCAGCCCAATTTCGGGGGTCCCAGCCCCATTTCGGCGCTTTCCCGCCGCCGCAGGTAAATCCATGAATGAATCACCTTTGTCCGAACCCCATTGGCTGCCGCCGCGGAGGGGCGGGGCCTGCCGGCTATATAAGCGGCCGGAAGCCGCGCTGCCCTCAGAGCCGCTCCCAATCCCGCCATGGCCGCCGCGCTCCGGCCGCTCCGCGCCCTCAGCCGCGCCGCGCCGCCGCCCCGCGCCCGCCGCCTGCAGCTCAGCGCCGCCCGGTACGGCCGGGACACCGGGGGACACCGGGGCTGTGCGGGGGGAGGCGGGGACAGCGCCCGCCGCGCTCCGTCCGGGCCCGGCGCGCTGAGGGCTGCGCGGGGCGAGCCCGGCCCGGTTCGGGCGGGCCCGGCCCGTTCGGGCCCCGCGGCTCCGGGGGCGGCGGGCGGGCCCCCAGCGGCCGCGGTGGGCGCTGCAGGCTGATGAAATCCCGTGGGCGCCTTGCGTGAGGGAGCGGGACCGGCCCTGGAGCCCGGGAGAGGGATGGAGAGAAAACGGGGTGAGGGGACAGAGACAGCCCCGGGTCAGGGGATGGAGAGAAAACGGGGTGAGGGGACAGAGACAGCCCCGGTGAGGGATGGAGAGAAAACGGGGTGAGGGGACAGAGACAGCCCCGGGTGAGGGATGGAGAGAAAATGGGGTGAGGGGGCAGAGACAGCCCCGGGTCAGAGGATGGAGCGAAAATGGGATGAGGGGACAGAGACCCCCCCCAATCATCCCCCAGAATGAGAGGGACAGAGACCCCCCAGCACTGGGGTGAGAGGGACAGAGACCCTCTGAGTTAGAAGGGAAACCATCCCTTCTTGATTATTTATTGGTATGAGTGGGACCGAGACCCCCGAGCATTCTCTGGTGTGACAGAGACCCCTGAGCATCCCACCCTGCTCCAGACAGCGTTTGCACAACATTGCCAGGCTTGCACAGGGCAGGATTTTGGGGTGTGATCCTGGTGGGCACCTTCCAGCTCGGATATTCCGATTGTGCCCCGTTTGGTGCCAGCTTTGGTGCTGCAGAGGTGCCAAAGGCAGACAGAGCCCCGGGGCCGGAGCCTTTTCCCCTTGCTGTGCTCCATCCTCCCCGGGCTGGCAGAGCTGAGCCTTTCCCCTGCAGGGGCGATGCCGTGGTGATCTCGGGGAGGAAACTGGCCCGGCAGATCCGGCAGGAAGCGCGGCACGAGGTGCAGCAGTGGGTGGCTGCCGGCAACAGGAGACCCCACCTGAGCGTGGTCCTGGTGGGGGAGAACCCGGCCAGCCACTCCTACGTGCTCAACAAAACCAAAGCGGCGGCGGATGTGGGTGAGTTGGAGCTTCCCTGCCCTTCTGGTTGGGAATCCTGGATGCTGGCAGCTTTTTTGGGATGCACCCGCCTGCTGGGTTTTCAGCTTCGCCCAGAGTTTGGGTTCTGGTGGCTGTCTGGTTGTATTGAGGTGTGGTTAGATCCTTTGGGGCAGGATTGGGGTTTTTCAGCTTTCCCAGAGCCAGGAGAAGCACAGGAGGGGATTTTTGGCCTCCTTTCCCCATCTGCCTGGGACACAGCCCCTGTTCAGCAGCCTCGCTGCCCTCTGGCCCCATCCTGCAGTCCAAGGCCCTGCTCAGGGTCAGGGCAATAACTGGTGACATTTAACCTGGCTCTCAACAGCTGGAGCTGAGATTTTGAGGCAAACATCCCTTTTTTACTGTGTCCAGAAAGGCCTCTCAGGCTATGTGGGTTTATTTTCATGGCAGCAGCCTTTGCTTGGGTTTCTCCCTACTCTGGCAGGGTCCCAAACCCCCTTTCCCCGGCCACCAGCCCCATAAAATCATCCTCAACAACAAATCCCAAGGCTTGTGAGGGTCTCTCCAGCCTGGGAGCTGCACAAACCCTTCCATCCTCAGCATGCACCTCCCAGATTTAGCCAGGCAGCAATTTAAATCCACAAACTCTGGGAAAATCTCTTTTGTGCCTCACTGACCTGGTGGATTTGGTGATTCCAGGGATCAGCAGCGAGACCATCCTCAGGCCAGCCTCCATCAGCGAGGAGGAGCTGCTGGAGCTGATCGCCAAACTCAACAGCGACGCGGCCGTGGACGGGCTCCTGGTGCAGCTTCCCCTGCCTGGTGAGCAGCTCAGCCCCCGTCCTGCACTCCCACAGAGCTTCCAAAAGCTGCAGGGTGGGGAATCCTGCCCTGATCCTCCCCCTCAGCTGCAGCAGCAGCTTCCCCTGCCTGGTGAGCAGCTCAGCTCCCGTCCTGCACTCCCACAGAGCTTCCAGGGGCTGCAGGATGGGGAATCCTGCCCTGATCCTCCCCCTCAGCAGCAGCTGCTGCAGGGCTCAGTCTCTGGGCCTGGGATCTATTCCTGTTCAAGGTCACAGCTCCAATTTGGAGTTGCAATTCCAGCTTCGGGCTGGGGGTTGAAATTCCAGTTCAGAGTTTAGGGTTACAGCTCCCATTTGGGGTGACAATTCGAGCTCAAGGCTTGGGGTCAGAGCTCCAGTTTGGGGTGACAATTCCAGCTCAGGCTTTGGGGTCACAGCTCCAGTTTGGGGTTGCAATTCCAGCTCAGAGTGACAGTTGCAGTTTGGGGTGACAATTCCAGTTCAGGGTCAGAGCTCCCTTTGAGGTGACAATTCCAGCTCCAGTTTGGGGTCCCAATTCCAGCTCAGGGTCAGAGTGCCATGCCAGGCTTGGGCTCACAAGCACAGCTGGCAGCACAGCTGGCAGCACAGCTGGCAGCAGGCCCACCGTGGCCCCCCCGCCCTTGCAGAGCACATCGACGAGCGCAGGGTCTGCAACGCCGTGAGCCCACACAAGGACGTGGACGGGTTCCACGTGCTCAACGTGGGCAGGATGTGCCTGGACCAGGACTCCATGCTGCCAGCCACGCCCCGGGGCGTCTGGGAGATCATCCAGAGGACGGGTGAGAGCTCCTGCTGCAGCTTTTGGGGTTCTGGGAATGCCAGCTCGGGTGAGAGCTGCAGGGCTGCCAGGGTGGGATTTTGGGGTGTCTCTGCAAGGCTCCCAGGGATGCTCAGGATGGGATTTTGGGGTGTCTGTGCAGGGTTCCCAGGTGGGATTTTGGGATGTCTGTGCAGGGTTCCCAGGTGGGATTTTGGGGTGTCTGTGCAGGGTTCCCAGGGCTCCCAGGGTGGGATTTTGGGGTGCCCCCGTTGCAGGGCAGCGTGTGAGGCTGTGCTGTGTGCCCCGCAGGGATCCCCACGCTGGGCAGGAACGTGGTGGTGGCGGGCAGGTCCAAGAACGTGGGCATGCCCATCGCCATGCTGCTGCACACCGACGGCCGCCACGAGCGCCCCGGAGGTAGGAGAGAGGGGTGTTCTCTTCCAATATTTTACAACCTCTCTCTGATGAATTTTTTCCTGATATCCAGCCCTAAACCTCTCCTGGCACAGCTTGAGGCTGTTTTAGCTCAACCTGTTCCTATTTTACCTTTCCACGATGAATTTTTGTCCCAGGGTGCTGGCTGTGAATTCCTGCCCCGTAGGAATGTGCCCCTTGACCAAATTATTCTTTGTCTGCGCAGGTGACGCCACGGTGACGATCTCACACCGCTACACGCCCAAGGAGCAGCTGAAGCAGCACACGATCCGCGCCGACATCGTGGTGGCTGCTGCAGGTCGGGGCTGGGGGCTCCTGCTGGGAATCCCGACCCTGGAAAGTCCTGGGGGGCTCCTGGGGCTGGGGGCTCCTGTGGTTGAGGCAAAACCGCCGCAGTTTTGGGGTGTTCTGCCTTTGGGACGGGGAGCAGCACCTGGCAGGGGGAGCCCGGGGAGTTGTGGGGTGGGGTGGGAGGGAAGCCAGCAGGGTCAGGGTGCAGCTCCTGGCTCTGCACAGACACCCCAAAATCCCTCCCTGGCATCCCTGGGTGCTCTCCAGACACCCCAAAATCCCATCCTGGCATCCCTGGGTGCTCTCCAGGCATCCCCAACCTGATCACGGCCGACATGATCAAGGAGGGCGCGGCGGTGATCGACGTGGGCCTCACCCGCGTGCAGGACCCGCTCACGGCCCAGCCCAGGCTCGTCGGGGACGTGGATTTCGAAGGTGAGCAGAGCCTTAGGCTCAGCTTAGGATCGGCTCTTTAGGCTCAGGATCAGATTTTGTGGGCACTGAGGAGGGGACAAAACCTGGGTTGTGTCTCCGAGCTCAGGGTGCATCCGTGTCCGTCTGCCTCTGCTCCAGCCCTGGCTTGGGCCTTTGGGCCCAGCTTTTTGGGGCTCCCAGGTCTGGCTTTTTGTGCTTTTAGGCCCAGTTTTTTGGTATGTTATGGCCTGGCTTTTGATGTTTTCAGAGCTTTGTGCTTTTAGGCCTGGCCTGGTGCCTTTGGGCCTGTTTTTTTGGCCTTTTGGACCCTTGGTGCTTCCAGGCCTTGCTTGGTGCCTTTAGGCCCAGCTTTTTGGTGCTTTTGGGCCCACCTTTCAAGGAAAAACCACCCGGCCCCGTTCCTAAATCCTTAATCCCGACAAAGCCTGCGTGGCTTCAGGCCGGGCGGCCTCACCCAGCCCTTAAACCCGGTTTTTCCCCTCAGGGGTGAGGAAGAAGGCGAGTTACATCACGCCGGTGCCCGGCGGCGTGGGGCCCATGACGGTGGCCATGCTGATGAAGAACACCATCATCGCCGCCAAGAAACGGCCCAAAGCCCCCGAGCTCGGGGCTCTGAACGGAGCCGGGCTTAGCGAGGGGCCCCTCAGAGCCGGGCTTAGCGAGGGATCCCTCTGAACTGGGCTTAGCGAGGGATCCCTCTGAACTGGGCTTAGCGAGGGGCCCCTCAGAGCCGGGCTTAGCGAGGGATCCCTCTGAGCACCACCATCGCTGCCTAGAAACTGCTGAAACCCCGCGAGCTCGGGGCTCTGCCTGCCTAAACTGGGCCAGGCTTAGCGAGGGGCCCCTCAGAGCCGGGCCCAAACGCAGCATTTGTTATTTATTGTCTCGTGCGTGGGGCTCGTCCCCACCTGAGCTCACGGGTATTTGTGGAGGCGTAGCTGAGCTGGGACTACCCAAACTCAGTTTTGTGTCTGAGCTGGGACTACCCAAACTCAGCTCTGTGGCTGAGCTGGGACTACCCAAACTCCTCCTGCTTGGTGTTTGAGCTGGGACTACCCAAACTCACCTCTGTGGCTGAGCTGGGACTACCCAAACTCCTCCTGCTTGGTGTTTGAGCTGGGACTACCCAAACTCAGCTCTGTGTGAGCTGGGACTACCCAAACTCAGCTTTGTGGCTGAGCTGGGAGTACCCAAACTCCTCCTGCTTGGTGTTTGAGCTGGGATTATCCAAACTCAGTTTTGTTTTTGGGTTAGGATTATCTACACTCCTCCTGCTTTGTTTTTGAGCTGGGATTATCCACACTCCTGCTTTGTTTTTAGGTTGGGATTATCCGCACTCCTCTTGGTTTGTATCTAAACTCAGCTTTGTGTTTGAGCTGGGATTACCCACACTCAGCTTTGTGTTTGAGCTGGGATTATTCACACTCCTGCTTTGTATCCAAACTCCTGGTTTTTGTTTGACCCAGGATCATCCAAACTCAGCTTTGTGCTTGAGCTGGGGTTACCACACTCAGCTTTGTGCTTGAGCTGGGATTTGATGCAATTCCCAAATCCTGGCACTCCCAACTCCCCCTCAGTGCTGGATTTTAGTTTGAGCTCTTCTCTAGAGGAATTACTTGAAATAATGAAACTAAAATTAAAACTGAAAGCCATACTTGAGTCCTGGGCCTGCGCAGGAGTGCAGCTAGGCCGGGCTTTTCTTGCCCTTGGAAGGGGTGGGGAATTCTGTAAAAGCTTTTTGTGGGACCAAAGAAGCCCCGGGGGTGGGGGAGCTTTGCTGGGCTGTGTGGGAGGTGGGAGTACCCAGGGAGTATCACTGGCTGCCTGAATAAAGCGGAAAAAAAAAATAAATAAAAAATAAATTAAAACAATAAACTCCTTTTTGTGCCCTGGAACGATTCTTGAGCTGTCCTGGGAAAGGAGCGGGGCTCGCTCTTAATGCTGGGTTTTAAAGCCGGGTTTTAAACCTGTTTTATTAATAAAGGTTTAAAGGTTTTATTAATATAATAATGGTTTATCATGGTTCTATTATATATATAATGATATATTCTTACATTTTAGTACTTATATCTTATATAATTATATAGAATATATGATTATATATTATATGATTATATAATAATATATTATATATAATACATTATTATATATATGATGATATAATGATGTTTTATATTTATATATTCAATTATGTATAAAAATATTAATAAATTACATGTATATTTTCTATTTCTATATAATTATATATTTTTATATATAATTATATCTTATATTTCTATGTAATTATATATATTGTATCTATATTTTAAATAATGTATATTATATAATTATATAATTATAATAATTATGTAATTATATAATTAAAAATATATTAGATATAAATATTAAAATATATTAAGATATAATTATATAATAAAATTATGTTATGTTTTATATCATTATTTATATATCTAATTTTATATATGTATGTATAATTCTATATTTTTATATTTATTTTTTTCAATATTTCAATGCTCTCAGCCTGGTGGTTGGAGGTTTTTATTGGGTTGTGTCAGCGGGAAATACAAACGGTGAACGCGGCGGCGCCGGGCTGGGCCAGGCACAACCCCAAACCTGGGGGGAACCTCCCCAAAAAGGGACAGCCTGAGCCCTGGGCAGCGGGGAGAGGGATTAAACCGGGATTAAATCCTTAAACCTGGCCTTAAACCTGCCCGGAGCACGCTGCAGAGAAAGGGAATTAAACCTGGATTAAATCCTTAAACCTGCCCGGAGCACACTGCAGCTGGCACGGGGTGGGGACAGGAGCTACAGGAGGGAATCCCGGCAGGGTTTGGCACTGCCAGGACAGGGTTTGGCACTGCCAGGACAGAGTTTGGCACTGCCAGGACAGAGTTTGGCACTGCCAGGACGGGGTTTGGCACTGCCCGGACAGGGTTTGGCACTGCCCGGACAGGGTTTGGCACTGCCAGGACCGGGTTTGGCACTGCCAGGACCGGGTTTGGCACTGCCAGGACAGGGTTTGGCACTGCCTCAAGTCCCCGGAGCTGTGCCAGAACCAGAACAAGAAATGCCCTAAAGAGGAAACAGCCTTTGAGTCTGTGAGATCTGGGGATTCACAGGGGTCAGGTCCAGACCAGTTACAGCGTTGAACTGGTGCCCAGTTCCAGTACTGTGTCAGTGGTGTTCCAGTCCCAGAGCTGAACTGGTGCCTGGGGACTCTGGGAGGGAAGAAACGGGATTCATCCAGGAAAAAAGGAAGGATTCATCCAGGAAAACCAGAAGGATTCATCCAGGAAAAATGGAAGGATTCATCCAGGAAAAATGAGAAAAAAATCGATTCCAGCTCTCCCAAACCAGGGCTGGGCCTGGAGAAAAATAAAATTCCTTTAAAGCCGTGGCATGGTTGGGAAAAGCTGGAGGGAGCCTGGATCCCCACCTGGGCAGGAAGAGCCCCTCAGGGACCCCAAAACACCGCTGGGCACCGGGAGGAGCTGCTGGGTGGAACTGGGAGCACTGGGGGCAGGGGCTGGCGAGGGAACTGGGAACGGAGCTCCGGGACAGCAGAGCCAGAGGGAATCCCTGGAATCCTCTAGGAGGAATCCTCCAGAGGGATCCTCAGATTTCTCCAGCCAGGGATTCCTCCAGGGAGAGGATTCCTTAAGAGGGAATCCATGGCTTTCTCTAGCCAGGGGATTCCTCCATGGAGAATCCTTGGATTCCCACTCAGGGGGTTCCTCCAGGGCTGCAGGGGATGGGGCTGGCAGAGGGGAGGGTGAGGATTTGGGGCCTTCGCTGCAGCCACAGTTCCCGTTTTCCTGTGGAAACCAGCCTGGCTTCCCTCAGGAACCATCCCTGACTCCCTGAACAAACCATTCCCAATTCTCTCAGGAATCATTCCCGATTCCCTCGGGAACCGTTCCTGATCCCTGCAGGAGCCAAGGCCCCATTCCCTGCCCGGCTGTCGCCCTTTGTTGCCCTCAGGTACCAAAACTCTTCACCCTGAGCTGCTCCTCCTCCTCCCCTCCCCAGGCGCCTGCTCCTCTCCATCCTGCTGTGCCTCTTCCTCCTAATCCCAGGAGCTTCCTCCTCTTCATCCCCATCCTTCTGTTCTTCTTCTTCCTCCTCCTCCTCTCCATCCCAGGAGCTTTCTCCATTCCAGGGCCAAAATCACCGATTTCACCTTTCCTTTGCCCAAAATCACCGATTCCACCTTTCCTTTGCCAAAATCACCAATTCCCCCTTTCCGGCCCTGTTTCGCCACCAGCGGCTTTGCCTTTGCCCAGTGGGAAGAGAGGGAATTCTGGAGCGCGCGACCCTAAATCCACCGGGGCTCAGACCCTAAAATCCAGGGGGGCTCTGACCCTAAATCCACCGGGACTCAGACCCTAAATCCACCGGGGCTCAGACCCTAAAATCCAGCGGGGCTCCGACCCTAAATCCAGCAGGGTTCAGACCCTAAAACCAGTGGGGCTCGGACCTTAAATCCACTGGGGTGTGGGGCTCAGATCCTAAATCCACCGGGGCTCAGGCCCTAAATCCAGCAGGGCTCAGACCCGAAATCCAGCGGGGAGTGGGGCCCTACATCCAGTGGGGTTCAGACCGTAAATCCACCGGAGCTCAGTCCCTAAATCCGGCGGGGCTCCGACCCCGAATCCGGCGGTGCGGCCGAGCGCGGTTGCTGTGCTGAGCCGGCGGGCGCGGCGCTATCTCTAGAGACACACGGACATACATATTCCTATGGATGTATAAGTTAAACTCGGGCGGGGTCACAGCGTGGTCTCGCTGCCCATGTCCCGCGGCGCCTTCTCCGTGTCGCTGTCCTCGTAGTCCGACTCCATCTCGATCTTCACCTGCGGCACGGCGCAGACGCTGCGGGAGAAGTTGAAGGCGGGGGAGGACGGGCACGAGATCTTCAGGTGCAGGGTGATGCTGGGGGCAGCAGGGAGAGACCTCAGAGATTTGTTGTGCTTTCAGTCCATTTCCCATGGATTTGTCATGTGTATTTCGTGTATTTTTTCATGTGTATGTCATATATTATTCCTATATAATTGTCATATATTCATATATTATTCCTATAGACTTTTCATATATTTTCCATATATATTTCATCTATTTTTTCATATGCCTATATTTTTCCTGTAGAATTTCATCTATTTTCCATGTATTTTCTATTTTTTTAATATATGATTTCTGTATATATTCCATATATATATTTTCCTTATATATTTATGTGTGTTTCAAATATTTTTTCATGTATTCATATATTAGTCCTATAGAATTTTCATCTATTTTCCATATATATTTAATATAATTTTTCATGTATTCATATATTATTCCCATAGACTTTTCATATATTTTCCATATATATTTCATCTATTTTTTCATATGCCTAAATTTTTCCTGTAGAATTTAATCTATTTTCCATGTATTTTCTATTTTTTAAATATATGATTTCTGTATATATTCCATATATATTATTTTCCATATATATTTTCCATATATGTTTATGTGTGTTTCAAATATTTTTTCATGTATTCATATATTAGTCCCATAGAGTTTTCATCTATTTTCCATATATATTTCATCTATTTTTTCAGATATTCATATATTTTTCCTATAGAATTTTCATCTATTTTCCATGTATTTTCTATTTTTTTAATATATGATTTCTGTATATATTCCATATATATTATTTTCCATATATATTTTCCATATATATTTATGTGTGTTTCAAATATTTTTTCATGTATTCATATATTAGTCCTATAGAATTTTCATCTATTTTCCATATATATTTCATCTATTTTTTCAGATATTCATATATTTTTCCTATAGAATTTTCATCTATTTTCCATGTATTTTCTATTTTTTTAATATATTATTTCTGTATATATTCCATATATGTTATTTTCCATATGTATTTTCCATATATTTTTCATGTGTATTTCATATAATTTTTTATGTATTCATACATTATTCCCAGAGAATTTTCATATATTCATATATTATTCCTATAAAATTTTCACATATTCTTATATTATTCCATATAATATATACATGTATATTTTCCATATATATTTTCCATATATTTTTCCTGTATAATTCATATATTATTCCTATATATTTTCTGTATTTTTTTCTTTATATTGTCTATATATTTTCCTTTTTTCCCTATATATTTTTTATATATCTATTTCTTATATATTTTTCACACATTCATATTTTATTCCTATATATTCGTCTGTTTTTCCTATATTTCCTATATATTTCCCATATTTTAATATGTTTTCGTGTTTTCGTGTATTTTTCCCACATATTTTTCATATATTAACATATTTGGTAGACTGTTCCTACATGTTTATATTTTTGGCATTTTTCCTACCCTTTCTCTCAGATTTGGGAATAATCCATTAACCCTTCTGATGCTCACTGGAATTTTGTTCAATCTTAAGGAGAAACCTGACGAGATTATTTTGTTTTCCACCAAACTCAAAAGGGGAAGAAACCGCTTTGGAACAACCCCAGCGGGGCAAAACCTGGGGGAAATTCCCTCTTCTAACTGCACAAAATTAAATTTATAATTTCTAGATTCAACCTTATTAATCATCCTTATAAAAACTGATATTCCCAAAGATGTTCCCGGAATTTCGGGGGTCTCCGGTACCTGCGATCCATGTCCGAGCCGTTCGGGGAGGAGTCAGAGCGCAGAGCTCCGGGTGGAGGCCCTCGTTCCTGGGGGGACACGCAGCTGAAACCCTGCCCAGGGACCCCAAAAATCCCCCCAGACCCCTGGGCCAAAATCACCGTTCCCACCTTTTCTATCCCAAAATCATAAATTTCATGTTTTCTGTCTCAAAATCACCATTTTCACCGTTCCTGTACCAAAATCACCAATCCCACCTTTCTGGGCAGTGGGAGGAGGAGGAAAACTCCCGGGAATTGCAGATTTTGGGGGTGATCAGCGAGAGGAAAAGCCATGCCAGCAGCAGCTAAGGAGTTAAACTGAGCTGGAGCTCTCTGGGGTCCTGGAATGAACCCCCCAAATTTATTCCGAGTCTTTTCGGTGAAGCTGCTCCTTCCCAACCGTAAAACTCCATCACCAGAAGCTTTTGGGGGCTCCAAACCATCCCAAACTCAGAGGATTTTCACAAACCCCCACCAGCACCAGCTCGGAGGTGACAAAACCCACGAGATTCCTGGATTTTTTTGGGTGATTTATGGAAATCTTGGCGATCTTTGGGATGAGCGGCGCTCCGGCAGCTCTGGAGGTGGTGGTTTTTCCCTGGTGGGTTTCCCTGATCCTGGTGGGTTTCCTCAGTCCCGGTGGGTTTCCTGGTGGGATTCCCACGGTTGGTTTCCCTGGTGGGTTTCCCAGTGGGTTTATCTGATCATGGTGGGTTTATCTGATCCCGGTGGGATTCCCCAGTGGGTTTCCCTGATGCTGGTGGGTTTCCCCGGTGGGTTTCCCTGGTGGGATTCCCCTGTGGGTTTCCCCAGTCCTGGTGGGTTTATCTGATCATGGTGGGTCTCCCTGATCCCAGTGGGTCCCCCGATTTCCTTTCTTTGGCCGTGATTTTCCACTTCTGGGACATCCCCTAGATGGAGCCCCTCACTCACACAACCCGCTCCTGCCCTGGAACAGCTCCAGCAGTCCAAGACCTTCATCCCAAACCCGGAGGTTTCCGTGGGAATTGTCCCTCCCCGGTGTCCTGGAGGCCCCGGTGACCCCACACCCACCTCCTCATCACTGCTGCTGTCCCCTTTGTTGCCTTTTTTCTTCTTTTTCTTGTCGTCCTCCTTCTTCTTCTCCTTCTCGGGGATGATGTTGTCGATCCAGGCCAGGTCGTGCTGGGAGAAGACGAAATCCAGGAGCCGCCTGACCAGGATCAGGGCCAAGATCTGGCAGGGGAGAGGTCAAAGAGTGCCTCAACTCAAGATCTGGTGGTGACCACCAAGGCAAAAATCCCTTAAATCCCCAAAAAACCCTCTGGAGTGAGGATGGCATTGCCCATGATGCAGAAGATGATGGTGGCCATGGTGGAACCATGCCAAAAATGTCATTAAATCCCCAAAAACCCATTTGGATCATGATGGGATTACCATGATGGGGAAGACGATGGTGGGACCATGCCAAAAATCCCAAAAAACCCCTTTGGATCATGGGTGGGGTTACCATGATAGGGAAGAGGATGGCAGCCATGGTGGAACCACACCAAAAATTTCATTAATCCCAAAGAAACCCTCTGGATCGTGGTGGGATTACCATGACCGGGAAGATGATGGCGGCCACGGTGGATTTGAGGATCCAGAGCACGGCCAGGCAGACGATCTGCACCAGGGTGAAGAGGTGGATGCGGCGCAGCGGGACGTGCCGCAGGAACACGTAGTCGGGCTGGTGCTTGGCCGGCATCAGGAAGAGCTTGCAGCGATCCCAAAACTGCCCGGGGAGGAAGGTCTGTGTTAATCCTCAGCCCCACCCCTAAAAAATCCCTTTTTTAGTCCCCAAAATGTAGGAAGAGCTTGAACCGATCCCAAAACTGCCAGGGGAGGAAGGCCTGGGGTTGATCCTCAGCCCCACCCCACAGGCTGCCCAGGAAAAGTCTCTTTCATTCCCCCCAAAATGAATTTCCAGGTTTTTGGTGTTTCTCAGAGGGTTTTGGGTCCCATCTGCTGTCCCACATGTGGAAATCTTGGAGTAAAAATCCTCCTTTTGGAGGCAGTGTGGGACAGTCTGTGGCCAGTGAGGAGGAGGAGGAGGAGGAGGATGAGCAAGAGGAGAAGGAGGACAAGGATGAGAATGACAAGGATGAGGATGAGGAGGATGAGGGGGGTGAGGAGGATGAGAAGGCGGGTGATGAAGACAAAGAGGATGAGGAGAAGGAGAACGAGGAGGAGGGAGGAGGATGAAGATGAAGAGGATGAGGATGACAGAGGACAAGGAGGATGAAGAGGAGGAGGAGCCAAGGAGGAAGGGCACTCACCTGGATGCCGTTCAGTGACGCCACGCCCATGTAGAGGAAGACTCCGTAGAGCACCGGCATGGGGATGTACTGGGAACGGAACCGGCACGGCCCTGAGCCGGGGATGGCGGCTCCGGGCCAGGGATGGGGACAGGGATGGGGACAGAGGGCCAGGGCCAGCGCTGGAGGTCACCAGGATGGGGCAGGGTCCAGCTTTTCATCCCCATGTCCCCAGCTCTCTGTTGGAATGTTTTACCTTCAGGATAGGAGCCAGGAAAACCGAGATGCCCGTGAGAACGAAGACGATGATGCCGGTCACCCTCTGCTCCCTGGAGCGGGGACAGCAGCAGGGTCAGCCCGAGGAACCGCCCAGGAACCACGGGGTCACCAGTGGGAACGGGAGTGACAATCCCACCCTGGCCCTGCTGGCCTTGGTGTCCCCAGGACAGGACAATCCCTCCCTGGCCACGCTGTCCCTTGTCCCCGCAGGACAGGGATGTCCCCCCACCTCCAGGACACCACCAAGACCCACCTGGAACCCCAGGACCCACCTGACCCCCAGGAACTGTCCCTGGTGTCCCCCAGGCCCCACCTGACCCCCAGGAACTGTCCCTGGTGTCCCCCCAGGACCCACCTGACCCCCAGGAACTGTCCCTGGTGTCCCCCAGGACCCACCTGACCCCCAGGAACTGTCCCTGGTGTCCCCCCAGGCCCCACCTGACCCCCAGGAACTGTCCCTGGTGTCCCCCCAGGACCCACCTGACCCCCAGGAACTGTCCCTGGTGTCCCCCAGGACCCACCTGACCCCCAGGAACTGGGGCTGCTCCCCCGGGGCGCTGGTCTCGGTCTCCATCTTGAGGCTGTCGATGTGGGCGATGGAGATGACGGTGGCGGCCACGTACCAGGGCAGCCCCATGAAGGAGCACACGGCCATCAGGATGCCCACCCAGAACAGGTCCAGGTGGTACCCGGCTGCCTTCTGCAACACAGCACAGGGGCCTGGTGTCACCCCACGCTGATATGGGGCACACGGTGTCACCCCAAAACACCCGGTGTCACTGTGATGTGCCCCACATGGACATAGGGCACCCTGTATCACCCCATATCACCCCAAATCACCCCATACCACCCTGAATTACCCCATGTCACCCCACATCCCCCCGTATCACCCCAAATCACTCTGCAGCACCCCATATCTGCCTCCTGCCCCCCGTTACCCACAGAACTTCACCTTCCAAGCCCTCCATCACCCCAAACCCACACCTTGCTGAGGCCAGGGGTAGCCCCCAACACCACCATAAACCTGGGTGCTCTGGGGGATCCGTGGGGTGCTCTGGGGGATCCCCCGGGGTCTCACCCGCAGCTTGTGCTCCTTCCTGTTGACGATGACGGCCGTGATCTGCTGGTCCATGAAGATGAGGATGGTGACCAGCAGGGCGGGCAGGGCGCTGGCCAGGTACACCCACCACGGGTTCTTCCCGAAGGGGAACACGAACCAGCCCCGGTCCACGCGCGTGGGCTGGGGAGACAACGGGGTCAGAACCTCGAGAATGGGCTCGGAACCTCGGGAACGCAGCATGGGTTGGGAAAACCCGAGGGGTGGCACTTGGGGACAACCCCAGCCCAGATCCATCCTAAATCCTGTGCCCCAAACTGCCCCCAAATCCTTATTGGGATTGCCATTGGGATCCTGATTGGGATTTCCACTGGGATCTTCACTGGGATCCTCGTTGGGATCCCCAGTGGGATCCTTATTGGGCTTTCCATTCGGGTTCCACATTGGGATCTTCACTGGGGTTTCCACTGGGATCCTCATTGGGATTTCCATTGGGATCTTCACTGGGACCCCCAGTGGGATCCTTATTGGGCTTTCCATTCGGGTTCCACATTGGGATCTTCACTGGGATTTCCATTGGGATTCTTATTGGGATTTCCATTGGGATCCCCATTGGGATCTTCACTGGGATCCTCACTGGGATTTCCACTGGGATCCCCCTTGTGGTCTTCATTGGGATACCCCTTGGAATCCTCATTGGAATTCTCATTGGGATCCCCATTGGGATTTCCATTGGGATCCTTATTGGGATTTCCATTGGGATCCCCATTGGGATCTTCACTGGGATCCTCACTGGGCTTTCCACTGGGATCCCCCTTGTGGTCCTCATTGGGATACCCCTTGGAATCCTCACTGGAATTCTCATTGGGATCCCCATTGGGATTTCCATTGGGATCCTCATTGGGATTTCCATTGGGGTCCTCATTGGGATCCTCACTGGCATTTGCATTGGGATCCTCACTGGGATCCCCACGTCACCCCCTGGATGGGGGAGGGGGAATCCTTCGGGACTGGGGTTTTGTGGAGCTCTGGCTTTTTACCTTGAAGTCGGTAGGCACTTGGAGCTTTGGGGTGTTGAGTCCGAAAAGCACATCCAGCCCCACAAACATTAGTATGGACATAAAGATCGAGAAGTCGCTAATGAGCTTACGGAGCTGCCGGCCACGGGGCAGAGAGAGAACAGGGGGGAAATGGCAAAAAGGGAGGGAAAACGGCAAAAAAAGGAGGGAAAATGGCAAAAAAGGGAGGGAAACAAAAAAAGAAGGGAAAACCAAAAAAAGAGGAGGAAAACAACAACGAAAAAAAGAGTTAAAACAACAAAAAATTAGGAAAAACAAAAAAAGGAGAAAAAAAGGACAAAAAAAGGAGGAAAAATAAAAAAGGGAGGAAAAAGAGAGAAAAAACAACAAAAAAGAGAGGGGGAAAGGAGGAAAAGCAATAAATAAAGGAGGAAAAACAACAAAAAAGGGAGAGAAAGAAAGGAGCAAAAACAAACAAGAAAGGAGGATAAACAACAAGAAAGGGAGGAAAGAAAGTCAGAAAATTAGAATCTTGTTAGAATAGACCAAGTAGCTTTTCAGGAGGTGCCTGGAGCTGCGAGATTCCCAAAAAAACCTGGAAAAAGAGCTTGGGAGAGGAGAGGAGGGGAGGCCGAACCTTGATGATACTGGGGATGTGGAGTTTGGGGGTGTCCAGGCCGAAACAGGCGTCCACGGCACAGAAGAGCAGGATGGAGAAGACATTGGAAAAATCAGCAATGAAAGCCCTGACCTGGAGGCAAGACAGGGAAATGGGGTTGGAGAGGAATTCATGGGGTGAGGAGGGGATTAATGGGGTGGGAAGGGGATTAATGGGATGGGAAGGGGAATTAATGGGGTTGGAAGGGTAATTAATGGGTGGGAAGGGAGCTTGTCCAGGTCTCTGTGGATGTCCCCAATTGGGGATTGCCCAGGATTGTCCCTTGGTGTCACCTGCAAACTTCCCAAGGGTGCCCTTGACTCCTTGGGAGTTAATGAGCACATTAATTAATGCTGGCCCTGACAGGGAGCCCTGGGCACCGCTGGGCACTGATGTCCATCAGACCCTGGGCTGGTGCCCACTTCCCTGTGGGTGGGACCATCCCACCCCTTCCTCATCCATCACCCCACCAATTCCTCCTCCATCATCCCATAAATTCCTCATCCACCATCCCATCCATTCCTCATCCATGATTCCACAAATTCTTGTTCATCAATTGTCCCCCCATTAATTGTCCACCATTAATTGTCCCCCATTAACCCAACTCAGAGAGGAGGATGCCATAAAAACCTCATAGAATCCCAAAAATCAGGGCCTAAAACCTCAGAGAGGACCCCAATTGTGGCCAAATCCTCCTAAAAACCGGGATTTTTGTTCCTGGAGTCCTTTGCCTCCACCCAAACCCGGCAGCTCCCGTTTGCCCTCGTTTCTGGGAAAGGGTCTGGCAGAATTTGGTTCTTTCCTCACCTTGGTGGGGAAGTAGCGGCTGAATTTGAACTTTTTCAGGGTCAGGGTCATGGAGTAGGTGCCGAAGAAGAGGATGAAGGACATGAGGGCCAGGTCGGGCACGAATTTGCAGGATTTTCCCACTAAGCTGCCGCCGTATTTGAGACATTCCTTCTTACTCAGCTGGGTCCAGTCCAGAGCTGTGAGGTTGAGAGCATTGGACTGGCGAGAGACCCCAAAAAAAGCAAAATTAGTAAAATTCGGAATTATTGTGGCATGCAGGGAAAGGGGGAATTTCAGCCCAAATCCAGCAAAACTGGCATTTTTAAGGTGCTGCAGGAAAAGAAAGGGGAATTTCCTCTCCAAACCCCAAATTTTGTACTTTTAGAATCACATTGTCTAAGAAAAGGGAAATTTCACAACTGAATTGAGCAAAATCAGCATTTTTAGCAACTTGCCAAAAAAGGACATTTCCTGCTCAAACCCCCAAAAAGAACAGTTTGAGCTGTTTCAGCACTCAAGGAAAAGTGAATTTCCAGAGTTTTGGGGACACCCAAAACCACAGGAAAACCGCAGAGCTGATACAAATTTGGGAAAAGCGTGGATTTGGTGCTGCTGAGCCCTGCTGGGAACCCAAATTTGAGTTCCCCTGGCTCCGAGCTGGCCCATCCTGCTCCGGGGTGCTGCAATCCCCCGGATCCGCCCTCCCTGATCCCGAATTTCCCCGGGATGAGCGGATCCCGGTGCTTACCAGAGACACGTTAGTGGTGTTCGGTGCCACCGGAGCTGGAGCATCGAACGAGGTCGCGTTGGCTGCGGGAGAGGAGTCGGTTATTCAGGTTTTGGGGCTAAACCCAAACTTTTGGGAGCTTTAGGGCATCACCACCAGCTGGGCTTCGCCTGCTGAGCCCGGCAGGGATCGGCATCCCGGATTTTTGGGGGGAAATCCCCTTTTCTAACCTCTCCCTGATTAATCCCATGTGCCGGGGAGGACGCAGCAGCTTCTCCCTGTGGGGCTGGCAAGAGCCGGGGCCAGAGGGGATTTTTTGGGAGTTTCCCATTCCTAAAATTTCCAGGAGCTTCCCATTCCTAAAATTTCCAGAAGCTTCCTAGGGAAGCCTCCAGGAATGGGGTGGACTTAAAACCACGGGGGTGGAAGGCTGTAAAAGCAGCCTGGGGTGGCTTTAATTTCTTTTTTTTTTGAGAGGCAGCACCCAAATCACGCCCAATTTGCCTTTTTTTAATTATTATTCTTGGTTTTTTTAATTGTTTGGGGCTGTTTTGGTGTCACCGGTGCAAAATTCCGTCTTTTCGAGCCCCGGCACCTTCTCCTCCTCGGCTCTTCAGGCGACGCAGCTCCGGGAGCACCCCCGGCACCTCTTGGGTGCCCCTAAAAAAGGGAATTCAGGAATTCTGGGAATTCCGGGACAGCTTTGCTGCCCCCCTCTTCCATCCTCTTCACCCAGTGGGAATTTCAGCGCCGGGGAATAATGAAGGAGAGGCTGGGCTAGGACAGAGAGCCTGGGGCTGCCCTAAAAACAAAGCCAGCCCTAAAAACATCGGTTTTGTTCTCATTCCTCTCCTCCACAACCTTTTCTTTTTTCCACAAACCCTATTTTGGGGTTTCTCCACCTCTAAAGGGTGGCACGGCACCGATAGGGTTAAAGAGAGGAGCCCTAAGGGCTCTACACAAACCTTTTTGGAGAGAGAGAAAAGTCAAATACACGGGGAAAAAAATAACAGCGGAACCCCCCCGTGGGGGGAGAGTATCAAATATTAAAATAGTTTTAATATTTAGAAGGTGATACTCACTTGAGTTTGAAATCAGCCCCAATTGATGTGTGCAGCAGAGACAAATATGGGACAAATCAGTTATAATAATCAAAAATCAGCAGGGGTGGAGAAAAAAAAAAGGGAATTAAAAAAAAAATTAAGGATGGAGAGGGGAATAAACATCATTTATAGAGGGAATTTAAATCCAGCCTGGACACCGCTGCGGGGTCGGGGATCGGGGTGCGGACGCCTCCGCGCTGCTCGGGGTTTGCTTGGGGTGGGGGCTTGGAGAAGGGGGAGACCTCCCTGGAGGCTGAAGGCTCCTCCCGCGGGAGCTGCCGGCGCATCCCGGGGTGCTCACGGCTCTGTCCGGGAATTGCGGCTCCGGGGGCTCCGTCGTGGCTCTCTGCGGCTCGGGTTTGGGGGAGGAACGGGTCGGTCTCGGTGCTGCTCGGGGGTCTCGGTTCCCAGCGGGATCATGGTGCTCACGGAGGGTGGAGGAGCAGGAATTGGGAAAAATGCAAAATTCAACCCAATGGCTGCGACTGGCACAGGTGGGAGCTCTCCTTGGAGTGGCAGATGCCTTGGAATGCCTTGGGTGGAGGGTCTTGGGTGCTTCGCTTGAAGGAAGGACACGGGCAGAACTTCACCATGATCTTCATCCACCATCACCTTCATCCATCATCATCTTCTTCCACGGTGACCTTCATCCATCATCATCTTCATCCACCATCATCTTCATCCATCACCATCTTCATCCACTGTCACTTTCATCCACTGTCACCTTCATCCACCATGACCTTCACCTACCATGACCTTCATCCACCATCATCTTCCACCTTCACATCCACGCACTGTCAGTCTCTTCTGGCTGCAGCTGGTGCTCCCCAAAATTGGGGTTTTTGACCCAAATCCAGCTCCTGGGAGAGCAGCTGCTCGCTGCTGTGAGCCCGAAGCCGTCTCTGCTCCTGTCCAGGAGCGCTCGAGCTCCGCAGTTCGGATCTGGGATCGTCCAGGACCCAAGAGCAAAACCATGGAAGGACCTTCTGCTCAGAGCCTTCAGCCTCTCCTTTTGGAAAAGGAGTGGGAAAAGGAGGAGAACGGTCCATGGAGGTTCCACACCCAGCTGGGACATCCCGGGGTGTCGCAGACACCGCAGAGCACAGAACCACCCCAAGTGTTTCCCAGACCTTCGGTTTCCATCGGCAGCAGGCTGGAGTGACCCGAAATGTCCTTTTTATTCTTCCATAATTCCATAATTCCTCCTTATCCATATCCAGGTCTGGCTGCTCCAGGCTGAGATCCCGACTCTCTGTCCGCTGCATCCCGGGAAGCGCCGAGTCCTTCACCCAAGGGGGACGAGGCTCTTCCTCCCTCTCCACAACCCCCTCGAGGAGGACGGTGAGGACGAGGTCTCTGCAGCCCAGGTCTCCTCGCACGTCCCGGGCCGGCGATCCCGTGGGATTCATCCACGCCAGGACCCTCCTCCCACCCCCGGCTCCTGCCCGGGCGGCCCCGGGGTGAACTCACCTGGGTCGGGGGCGACGCACTCGCACTTGTACATGGTCACGTAGTCGGGCTTGAAGTCGGAGTTGATGGGGTAGTACTTGAAGGCCCCGATCATCTTCTTGATGGCGTCGTAGATGAAGATGAAGCTGATGAGGGTGGAGAAGCCCTCCTCGGTGAAGCGCGTGATGTACTTGATGATGAAGCTGGCGTCGGTGGCCACCAGGATAAGGCACTGCAGGGCCGAGTGCAGCCCGATCCACAGGCGGAATTCCATGTAGTCGATCCCGTTGCCTCTGGAAGAGGGGACACGCGGCCCCGTGAGAGCGGCGGGGGGCTGGGGACACGCCCCAACCCTGCGGGGACAGGCCCTGGTGGGCCCTGGGGTGGCCCAGCACTCACTTGCTGAAGTCGAAGAGCAGCTTCTCGAAGATGAGGATGGGGCCGGTGCTGCTGAGGATGATGAGGGGCTGCCCGGCGAAGAGGCAGAACATGGAGCCGGCCATGGCCGTGCCCAGGAAGCTCTCCATGACGCCCTGGGGACGGAGCAGAGGTGGGTTACGGGGGTGCCAGCCCATGCCACGTCCCCCCCAGTGGAGATGGGGCTGAGGGACCTCGGCCTGGGCCTGCCCAGGATCCCACCCCACTGACCCCACCCTGCTGCTCCCCAGGCCGGTGACACCCGGGCCACACCTGGTAGTTGTCGGTGGCGTCGCCCAGCAGCCCGCCGAAGGTGATGGCGTTGGTGATGCAGCCCAGGTAGATGAAGAGGATGGCGGAGATGGACTGGATATGGAAACCTTCGTAGAAGTCACTCGGGAACCACGGCAGCTTCCTCTTGATATCCAGGTAGAGGCCACCACAAAACCTGTGGAGACGCCGCCAAGGGCCTGGTGACTTCCAGCAAAACAGAATCACGGCGTCCTGGAGTGTTTTGGGTTGGGAGGGACCTTAAATCCCACCCCATCCCACCCCTGCCATGGCAGGGACACCTCCTTCTGTCCCAGGGGGCTCCAACCTGGCCTGGGACATTCCCAGGATGGAGCAGCCACAGGTCCTGTGGGAATTCCATCATAGCCAGGAATTCCTGCCCAATATCCCATTTAGGAAGCCATTTCCTGTGTCCTGTCCCTCCATCCCCTGTCCCCAGTCCCTCTCCAGCTCTCCTGGAGCCCTTTTAGATGCTGGAATGTGCTGGAAGCTCTTCCTGGAGCTTTCCCTTCTCCAGGTGACCATTCCCAGATTGGCTCCAGAGCAGACAGGCTCAAGCATCCTGGAATCCTGGAATGGTTTGGGTTGGGATTTACCCTAAAAGCCCCTCAGTCCCACCCCGGGACACCTCTCACTGTCCCAGGGAGCTCCAAGCCCCGTCCAACCTGGCCTTGGGCACTTCTGGGGATCCACAGCTGCTCTGGTCAGCTGGGGGATTTATAAATATTGACCAGAAATGGAATTTATACACAGACACTCCAATAGTGTGGTGCTGGTGCTGCCAGGAACCCCTTCCCACCGGGATTTCACCCCAGGAGGAGCCGCAGGAGACGTTGATGGATCCCAGAGGATCCATCTGGAAAACTGCAGGATTTTGGGGGTGGCTCCTCGCTCACCTGCCCGTCCAGGCCAGCTCCTCCCCGATCTCGTGGACTTCGGGCATCTCGCCATCGTCGCTGCCGCCACCACCACCGCCTCCACCGGCGCCCGCCCCGCCCGCCGCGCCGTTCATCTGCCCCACCTCGTTCAGCGAGAACACCGACTTCCTGCGGGACAGCGGCACCACCTCGGACCCGCCCCGGCACCGCCGGATGGGCACACCCGGACCAGCCCCGCCCGCTCGGCAGTGCCAGATCAACACCGCTGGATCGGCACCGCCGGATCGGCACCACCAGATCAGCACTGCCAGATCAGCACTGCCGGATCAGCACCACCAGATTGGCACCACTGGCTCAACATTGCCAGATCGGCACCACCAGATCAGCACTGCCAGATCAATACCACTAGATTGGCACTGCTGGATTGGCACCACCAGATCAACTGGCAGATCAACACCTGCAGATCGGCACTACTGGATCGGCACCACCAGATCAATACCACTAGATTGGCACCACTGGCTCAACATTGCCAGATTGGCACCACCAGATTGGCACTGCTGGATCAGCACCACCAGATTGGTACTGCTGGATTGGCATCACCAGATTGGCACTGCTGGATCAGCGCTGCCAGATCGGCACCAGTGTGAGGACCATGGCCAGAGATTGGGTTTTGGGGTGAATTTGGCCAGATCCAGAGCTGGTTTGCTCAAATTGTGGAGCCCTGGGTTGGGTTGGGTTGGGTTGGGTTGGGTTGGGTTGGGTTGGGTTGGGTTGGGTTGGGTTGGGTTGGGAGGGACCTCAAGGATCACCCAGTTCAACTCCTGGCCTGGGCAGGGTCAGCTCCCGGTAAAAGCTGTCCCAGGAGAGCGGGAACGAGCCCTGCTGCAATCCCAGCACTTCTGGAACATCTGGAGGGGTTACTTCCAGGGATGAAGCTTCCAGCGATGAAGCCAAGCAAGGCTCTTCCCCCCCAGAGCTGGTCCAGCCCCACCCACCTCTTCTCAGCTGAGGGCACTTTTTTGGGAGGCTCGATGCGGATGTTGGGGTCCCACTCGCCAGGTGGGAGGACGATCACCTCGTCCAGGAACTCGTCGATGCCGGCGATCAGGTCCTCCCTGTCCCGGGCTTTGTAGGCAACGTCGCTGAAGAGCTGGAGATGGACACAGGACAGGGGTCAGCCTGGCCGTGGCCTCCAGCCCCACGTCCTCCTGGGGGTTCCAATCTCAATTTTTGGGGTGATAAGGCAGAAATTGCTTTTTTTTGCTGGGTTCTGAACCAGGGGGTCCCAAAGGAAGGCCGGGCTGGCCTCAACTCACATCATCCACCATGAGCGTGGCGATGGCCCTGCCGATCTCGTTGTAGGACTTGGCTTTTCCCGCCGGACCCAGGAGAATGAAGAGGAATCTGGGGAGGGAAAGGTGCCGCCGTGGTGGCCACCTCGGAGCTGTGGGGCCACCAGAGCCCTCAGGACAGGCCCAGGGACAGCGCTCACCTGGTGGGGACGGGCACCTCCGTCACGCCCCCCAGCATGGTGGCTTGGAGCAGCCGCACGAAGGCCACGAAGGGCTTCTCCAGGAACTCCACCTCCCCCACCAGCACGTTGGAGGCCTCGGCGTCTTTGGGGATCTTCTTGATGAACTTGTTCTTCAGCTGTTGGGAAAGGCAAGGTCGAGGAAGGGATTGGCTGCCAAAATTTGGCTTTTCCCTCTTTTTTTTTTTTGTTGAAGCCTCAGGCTCCAAGATTTCACCTCTGGTTGTCCCAGGACTCCCAGAGGTGGGGACTGAGGAGCCACATCTGGGATTCAGACAGCAAAAATTCACAAAACCAAATTTCTTTGGAAATATGGCTAAAACCAAGACTAAACCGCACCCCTGGGGCTCCACAACCCAACTAGAAACATTTGGTTTGGCTCTCCTGGGGTTTCAAAAAACACCCTGAAATCCCCCTGTGGAAAACCCGAGCCAACCCCAGGGTGGCTGCAGGAACATTTTTGGAGTTTATTTGCAGCTCTTGATGGCACAGAACGTTTTGGTGCCTCGCTCCTCCCCAGCCCCATTCTGGGAGCTGGAACAAACAATGGGAGGAGGAAAACCTCATCCATGGATTTATCCCCCAGGACTCTTCTCCCCCGCAGCTCTTTTCATTAGGAGCCTAAAAGGGTTCAATAGGCAGCGGGCAGGGAGTTAGGATAATCTATATGGCAGCATGAGGGGAGGCATGTGAGCGGGCAGCCGCCTCGCCCGGCCTAATCTTCTAAATCCAAATGGAAAAAAACAAAAAAAAATCATCATCATAATAAAGCAGCTCCTCCAGTCCTGCTGGAATAAGAGCAGGAGTTACCAGTGGCCACTAAGCTTCATGTAACACTTAAAAAGTCCCTTTGTAGTGGGCCTAATAGGGCGATTAAACCTAAATGCTTTGCATATTTTGGGATTAACCCTCAGAACCCCATTGCTGGGGGGGATGTTTGGGGTTCCTGAGTGCTTGAGTGGGCACTGGATTAGTTTTGGGAGGTGGCCTGGAAACCTTCGTGGTGTCCCCGTCCCGTGGCTCCTGGCAGAACATGGATTTCCATCCATGAAATCCAAGGAAATAAAACATTATTTACTGTGTTCGGACTTGCCCTACATCATCACCCCAGGTAAGCCCAGCGAGGACATCCCGGGGGAAAAGAAAGTTTTTATCTCATCCCATTCCCTAAAATCCCAAAGATCCCATTCCCTAAAATCCCACGGGGTTGGTGATCCTGCCTTGAGCTTATGGTGGAATCAGGAACAGAAACAAAGCAAAGCTGATACAAGGAACCAACCACTCCCAGAAGAACAACAGGAACGGGAGAAAATCCCACTGACCCATCCCATCCCCAAGGTGGGATCTGCTTCCCAGCTCCCTCCTACAACAATCCCAGGAGGAAAAGCTGCTCATGGCCTCTGCGCTGAGCTTTGCCTTGAGAAAAAACAGATCTTTTTTGCCTCAGAAAAAACCAGATCCCACCCCAAATTCCAGCCCCTCACCCCCAGAGCCGAATCCCTGTGTGCAAACCCAAGAGCTCGGGTGGGATTTGCCACCCTCTCCCTTCAGGATTCCCACACTTCCAAGCAGATCCTGCGGATCTGGAGGGAATTTCTGCCCCACCCTGATGGATTTGGGCTCCTGGCTTGTCCCCACAGGGATCAATCCAGCAATTAACTGCCCTAATTAGGGATTGGTGCGGGTATCGACCCAGCCACGGCTCACGTGGAGCCGACAGCCCCAGAGCCCAGCGGGGACCGCGTCGGGATTTTGGGATTTTGGGTACCTGGTCAGTGCTGGGCGTGTCCGAGATGTCGTTCATGCTCCGGCTCTGGGCGTGACCTGGAGGGAAGGGAGGGAATTGTGAGGAAAAGGCACCCCAGGTGCCAGGGGAAAACCTGGTGGGAAAAGCCAGGAGAAAACCTGGTGGGAAAAGCCAGGAGCAAACCCGCTGGGGAGAATCCTTGCAAAGGAATAAAATATTGCTGATTGCATCTGGGCTTGCAAAGCAGCGGCAAAACTCCCTCAATGGGAGCAATTCCAGTCTCAGCTCCCAGGTTCCTTTGGGATTTCCCACCCACCCTTTCCCAGCCAAGCAATCTTTTAGGATTCCCTCCCTCTTCCAAGCCTTCCCTCCCTAAAGACTCTAAGGAATATTTTCCTTGTGTTCCAAGGAATTATTTGGCATTGCAGGGAATCATATGGTGTTGCAGGGAACCACGTGGCATTGCAGGGAGGTTTTGGTGGTGTTGCAGGGAAGAATTTGGTTTTCCAGGGAATGATGTGGTGTTCCAGGGAACTACGTGGCATTGTAGGGAATCATTTGGCATTACAGAGAACCATGTGGCATTGCAGGGAGTTATTTGGTTTTCAGAGAATCAATCATTTGGTGTTGCAGGGACCCCCATGGCGCTGCAGGAGGCTCTGGGGCTCGGGGCCCCCACTCACGCAGGCGGCCGTAGCCGGCGCTCTGCCGCAGCCGCAGGTCCTCGGTGGAGCGGTGGAAGGCGGCGCCGGCGGCCGGGCCCCGCCCGGGGCTGCGGGCTGGGGAGAGGAGAGAGGTGTGAGACGGGGGGATCCCACAGGAATGTGGGGCAGGATCCCACAGGAATGTGGGGCAGGATCCCACGGGAATGTGGGGCAGAATCCCACTGGGAATGTGGGACAGGATCCCATGGGGAATGTGGGGCAGGATCCCATGGGAATTTCGAGGCAGGATCCCATGGGAATGTGAGGCAGGATCCCATGGGAATGTGGGACAGGATCCCATAGGGAATGTGGGACAGGGTCCCATAGGGAATGTGGGGCAGGATCCCATGGGAATGTGGGGCAGGATCCCATGGGAATGTGGGACAGGATCCCATAGGCAATGTGGGAAAGGATCCCACTGGGAATGTGGGGCAGATTCCCACTGGGAATGTGGGGCAGAATCCCACTGGGAATGTGGGGCAGGGTCCCGCGGGAATGTGAGGCAGGATCCCATTGAGAATGTGGGAAAGGATCCCATTGGGTATGTGGGACAGGATCCCATGGGAATTTCGAGGCAGGATCCCATGGGAATGTGAGGCAGGATCCCATTGGGAATGTAGGGCAGGATCCTATCGAGAATGTGGGAAAGGATCCCATTGAGAATGTGGGACAGGATCCCGTTGGGAATGTGGGACAGGATCCCATGGGGAATGTGAGGCAGGATTCCATTGGGAATGTCACTACAGGATCCCATTGGGAATGTCACTACGGGATCCTGCTGGGAATGTCACTAGGGGATCCCTCTGGGAATGTCATGGCAGGATCCCGTTGGGAACGCCGGGACACTCCCAGGGCTGCTGGAGGCCGATCCCGGGGCGTCCCGGGCCGCAGCCGTGACCTCCCGCCAACCCCGCGGGCAGGAGCGGGAACGGCCCCAAATCCCCTTTTGTGCGGCTGGAAAGGCGGGATCAGCCGGGCCCAGACCGGATTTGTCTGCGGCGGCCACGCCGGGAGAGCCGGCGCCGAGCCCGGGGCCCACACCGCGCCCTGTGCTGGCGTGGCGGCAGCGCGGTGACGTCACCGGCACGTGGTGACGTCATCTACACGCAGTGATGTCATCAGCATGTGGTGCCATTGACCCCACTGTGACGTCATCACACAGTGACATTATCCCCACAGTGACATCGTCACACAAAGTCATTGTCCCCCACTGTGATGTCATCACACGGTGACATTGACCCCACACGGTGACATTGTCCCCACAGTGACATCACCACACAATGCGACTGTCACCGTACAACAATGTCACCACACTATGCCATTGTCCCCAGTGATGTCACCACACAGTGACAGTGTCATCACGGTGATGTCACCACAGCGCCACTGTCCATCACACAATGACATTCTCCACCACACAACGATGTCACCACACAACGATGTCACCGCACACTGACATCATCACACCATGATCTTGTCCCTCACACAACAATGCCATCACCCAATGGTGTCACCAAACGGTGACATTGTCCCTGCATGGCCACATCCCTCACACAACGCTGTCCCTGCCACGCGCTGTCCGTGTCCCCAACACCTCCTTGGCCCCTCTGACCCCGCACCCCTAAACCCACGGGGGCGTAATTCCGGGTCCTTCCCAGCCAGAGACACCACGTGGGTGTCTCAAACCCTTGGGTCCTCCAAAATGTCCCTCCCTCCTGCCAAAATGTCCCTCCCTCCTGCCGAGGTGCCGCCGGGGCTCACCTGTGCTGGAGGACACGGACTTGCCGATGTCGGCCAGCGAGCGGTGGATCGGTTTCTTGGTCTGGTGGCGGTGCTTGCGCAGGAGGACGTAGCTGAGCTTCTCCCGCAGCTCCGGCTTCAGCAGCCCGTCCTCGATCTGCTTCTCGATGACGTCGTCTGCAACACGCGGCCGTGGTGACCCCCAAAACCCACCAGAACCTCCCCAAAATGTCCCGTCCTTGATCTGCTCCTCAGCGTCTGCAACACGCGGCCGTGGTGACCCCCAAAACCCACCAGAACCTCTCCAAAATGTCCCGTCCTCAATCTGTTCCTCAATCTGCAAGCATCCAGCCACGGTGGTCCAGGGGTGACCCCCAAAACCTCCCCAAAACGTCCCATCCTCAATCTGCTTCTCAATGTCTGCAACACACAGCTGTGGTGACCCCCAAAATGTCCATCCTTGATGTCTGCAACATGTGGCCATGGTGACCCCCAAAACCTTCCCAAAATGTCCCATCCTCAATCTGCTTCTTGATGTCTGCAACATGTGGCCATGGTGACCCCCAAAACCCCCCAGAACCTCCCCAAAACGTCCAATCCTCGATCTCCTCCTTGATGTCTGCAGCACATGGTCATGGTGATCCAGGCGTGACCCTAAAAACCTCCCCAAAATCTGCTGCTTCAGCAGTGACCCCCCCCAGATCCTCCAAAACCTCAACACAACCATCTCCGGAAGCGCCTGCTGGCTCCCAGCTCCTCCCTTTGCTCATTCCTGGACCAATCCTGAGGAGCTCAGACCCATTCCCACCATTCCAGGAGCTCCTACCGATGATCTGGGGCAGGGAGTAGCCGTCCAGGTCCAGCAGCACCGTGCCCGTCTGCAGACACGTCCGCAGCTCGAAGAGGCTGTGCAGCGACAGCGTGGACACGTGCGGCTTGCTCCACCTCTCGCCGCCTTCCTCCACCTTCTCCTCGAACTTGATCCACCTGGAACGGGAGCGGGACGGGTGTGAGGATGTGGGAATGGCTTTTCCTTCCTGGGGAGTTTCCCTGCTGGGAAGGCCTGGATTAATTAATCTCGCAGAGTTCCCGCTCGTTATCCGGGCCGGGAAGGGAGGAGCTGGTGGAGTCATCCCCAAAAGTGCTGCTGGCAGGGTTGTAGAGGGGTGGAAAAGCTCCCAGTCCCACCAGGAAGCCCAAATCCATGGATTTCCCCATCCTCAAATTGCTCCTGTGGGATTTGGGAACTGTGGGGTGGAGGAGAAGCTCCCAATCCCACCAGAAAACCCAAATCCAAATTTTGGGGACATTTTGGGTACACTGTGGAGACATTTTGGGACATTTTGGGGGTACTTTGGGGACATTTTAGGGAGTTTTGGGGACATTTTGGGTTTTGGGATACGTTGGGGATGTTTTGTGGATATTCCGGGGATACTCTGGGGACATTTTCGGATATTTTGGAGATATTTTGAGGACATTTTGGGATATTTTGGGACATTTCGGGGCTATTTTTGGGAAGTTTTGGGGATGCTTTTGGGGATATTTTGGAGATATTATGGGGACATTTTGGAGATATTTTGAGGACATTTTGGGATCTTTCGGGACATTTTGGGATTTTTGGGGATCTTTCGGGGTATTTCGGGACATTTTGGGGATTTTTGCCCCCAGCACGATCCCGAATCCCGCAGACCTGGCGGATTCCTTCCACTCCATGTCGTCGCCGTCGCGCTGCAGCGTGTCCATCTCGGTGAAGAGCGTGGGCGTGGGGGGCTCGTCCTCCTCCCCCAGGATGTACCGGAGCCGTTCCGCGGCCGGGGACACTGCCGGGAAACAGCCGCTGGAATTCCATGGAAAATCCCCAGGGAACGGCCCCAGGGGAGCCCAAAAAAAGGGATAAAAACGGAGGGAAATGTTGGAGGGAATGGGGGAATTCCAAATGATCCCATCCTGAATTCCCTGTGGGATGCTGGGGAAAAGAGCTGGAATTCCATGGAAAACGGGATGATCGCAAAAAAAGGGATAAAAATGAGCGAAATGTTGAAGGGAATGGGGAAATTCCGAATTATCCCATCCTGAATTCCCTGGGGGAACAAGAGCCAGAATTCCATGAAAAATCCCGCTCCATCCCCCAGGGAACGGCCCCCAGGAGGGTTGGGATCGGGGAAAAAGGGATAAAAACGGAAGGAAATGTTGAAGGGAATGGGGGAATTCCAAATTATCCCATCCTGAATTCCCTGGGGAAAAAAGAGCCGGAATTCCTGCAGGAAAAATTCCAGTTTCTTCCAGCATTTCCGGAGCAATCTGGGAATGGTTTTGGGATCACGGCGCCCTCCAAGGCTTTTCCATCCCAGCACATTCCCAGTGCCCAGGGGAGGGTGAAGAACTCCCAGGAAAATAAAAAAAAAAAGTTGGATTTGTTCTTAACCCTCTCCATCCTCGGGGCTTTTTCGGGCAGAACTTCCCAGTTTTGGTGGATTTGGGGAGAAATCCAAGCCCTGAAATCCATGGGAATGGGTTGTTTGGAATGAAATCCTCTATTTCCTGATTCAGCAGGAACGATCCAGCCTTGGAAAATGTGAATTTTTGGGGAAAATCCTCCTTTTTCTCCAAGCTGGGAATAACAAAGTCGGGTCATGCAGCACTTAAAAAATCAGGGAATTAAACTGCCGTGGATAAATGAGGGAAAAATGGGAATTCTGCCCCTTTCCCTGCACAAAGCAGAGCCCAGGCCCCAAAAGAAGAGGATGTCCCTTTAGGCTGAGCCTGCTTAAACCACTTAAGCCCAAAGCCCAAAGCCTGTGGTCCGGCCCTGCTGCCATTCCCATAAATCCCTTACTCTGGTTATTAAATATTCCCGGGAATTCTGGGGCTGGGCTCCGTGCCTGGAGGGTTTCAGGCTCCCTAAGCCTGGGGTTGTTCTCGGAAAAGGGATGAAAGGGGTGAAATTCTGGTCAACCCCCCCCACCAAACCCAAAATTCCCAAAAAACCCAAATTTAATGAGCTACACCACACAAAAAAAAAAAAAAAAAAATTCTGGATTTTGCTGGAAATCCCTGTCCTGGGTGAGGCTTCAGGTGGAAAAAATGGGATTTGGAATTCCTGACCTTGGTTTTGGGGTTGCTGCTCCCGGCTCTGCCCAAATTGCTCCTTAAAAATGGATCCTTCCCTCCTCACCCTCCCCAGGGCCTCGTTTTGGGGTCTTGGGGCTGTGTCACCCCCGAGACCCCAAAAACCCGGAGAAAATCTCGAACAGAAAAAGCTTTTTAAGCTTTTTTTCCTTATCCTGCCAGATTTTCAGGAATAAATCCAACTTGCAGCTCCCGGCTTGTGCTTCCCTCCCTCCCTCCTTCCCCAAGGTGCTCAGCCAGGCAGCCAAAATTCCTGGGATTTGTTCACCTGGAGAATTTCACGGGCGGGAGAGCTCAGCTCTCCCAGCTTTGGGGTTTTGGTATTCCTGGGAATTCCATCCAAAACCCCGGCAAGCAGCAGGTGTTTGATGGGGAGGAGGGAAGTGACACAAATCCCAAAAAATCACCCCAAAATCAGCTCCTCCAGGGGGACCCAGATCTCCTGGAACCGTGTTTTGGGATGGGCAAACTCTGGGATTGGATCCCCAGGGAATATTTGGGATCATTTCCAGGGGAACAGGCGAGGAATGGTTTGAATCCCCTCACATCCCAACCCCAAATCCTCGCCTGGGGATCCTTTTCCAACCCGAAATTCCCACAGAATTGGGAAAAAATTGGGAAATGAGGGAAGGCGGCGCTGCCAGGGTCCACAGTCCGGCCGGGACTAAGCCTGGCCTAAAGTCCAGCCTCATCCAGGGGCTTTTCCCTGGATTTTCCTCTGGGTTCTCCACGGCTTTTCCCTGGATTTTCCTTTTTCTCCAAGTTGGGAATAACAAAGTTGGGTAACGAAGCACTTAAAAAATCAGGGAATTAAATTCTCCACAGCTTTTCCCTGGATTTTCCTGTAGATTCTCTACAGCTTTTCCCTGGATTTTCCTGCAGATTCTCCACAGCTTTTCCCTGGATTCTCCTGTAGATTCTCCACAGCTTTTCCCTGGATTTTCCTGTAGATTCTCCACCACTTTTCCCTGGATTTTCCTGCCTCACACGAGTCCCCACCTCCCCAAAACCCAGAAGACCGGGACGCCCATCCCATGGGATGAATTTCTCCAAACCCTCCAGCTTTGAGATATTTCTGACCCTTCCAAAAACCGACTTTTCCACCCAGGAGCAGCAGGAACCGGGAGCTCCCTGCTGATTTTCGGGATCACCTCTGGATCTCGGCGCTCCTGGACACCCCAGAGTCGCTTTTCCGAGGGAAAAATTAAAAAAAAAGGAACTTTTCCCCCTCCCACCATGGTGCTGGGGGGAAAAAAAAAAAAAACCCAAATCCTACCTGGAGTTGTTTCCATTTCTTCCCCCATTTAACCCCAAAACGCTGCGGGGCCGGAATTCCTCTCTCCTTTATCCACTGCGGCTCGCTAAACTCGGCGGCTTAGGGAGCAGATTAGCGGCACTAAACCCTTCCCTCGCCGCCGCTCCCATGACGGGAAGTTACCGACCCGCCGGGATGCGCTCGGGAAACGCAAAATCCCGCAAAAAACCCGCAAAAATCCTGCAAAAGTCCCCCAAAAAAATCTGCAAAAAATCCCGCAAAAATCTCACAGAAAATCCTGCAAAAGTCATGCAAAAATTCCGCAAAAAATCCCACAAAAATCCTTCAAAAATCTTGTAGAAATCCCGCAGAAACCCTGCAAAAGTCCTGCAAAAATCCCACAAAAAAAAAGGGGAAAAGGAGGGGAAATAAAGAGGGGGAAAGAGGGAAAAAGAGGGAAATGAGGGAAAAAGAGGGGAAAGGAAGGGACGTGCCCCAGCTCCTGCCAGGGCACGAAGGAGCTGCCAGCCCAGAGAATAAAAACTCTTCCCTGCAAAAAAACCCAGAAAACTTCAGCTCCCGACCCCAAATGCAAATTTCCAGCAAATCCCAGCCCATGGAAGGGCTCCTTGTGAAATGTTAATCCTCCCTAAGGAGATTTCCCCCCTAAGGAGCCGCAAATCCTGGCGGGAACACGGCGTGATTCGCCAATCCCAGCGGGAAAACTTCATCCCAATCCCATTCCAACGGGAAAAATCTGCCAGGAACACGGTGAGATCCCCTAATCCCAGCGGGAAAACTCCATCTCAATCCCATTCCAATGGGAAAAATCTGTCGGGATCACGGTGGGATTCCCCAATCCCAGGAAAACTCCATCCCAATCCCATTGCAATGGGAAAACTCCATCCCAATCCCATTGCAATGGGAAAAACCCAATGGGAACATGGTGGGATTACTGGAGTTTTTCTGGAACCCAAATTCCAGCAGGAAAATCCTTCCAAGCCCACCCAAATCCCATTCAATGGGAAAAATCTGTCGGGATCACAGCGGAGCTTGTCTGGAATTTCAATTCCAGTAGGAAAATCCCACCCAAGTGGGATTTCAACAGGAAAAACATGTTAGGAACAAGGTGTGATTCTTCAGAGTTGTCGGAACCCCAATCCCGCAGGAAAACTCCACCCAAATCCCGTTTCAATGGGAAAAACCCATCAGGAACAAGGTGTGAAGTCTGCAAGTTTTCTGGATCCCCAATTCCAGCAGGAAATCTCCACCCAAATCCCATTTCTACTGGAAAAACCCATTGGGAACACGGTGTGAAGGTTGTGGGGACCCAATCCCAGAAGGAAAACTCCACCCAAACCCCATTTCAATGGGAAAAACCCATCGGGAAAACGGTGTGAAGGTTGTGGGAACCCCAATCCCAGCAGGAAATCCCCTCCAAATCCCATTTCAATGGGAAAAACATGGGAACAAGGTGTGAAAACCCTTTTGGAACACGGTGTGAAGGTTATGTGGACTCCAATCCCAGGAGGAAATCCTGACCACTGCGTGCACCCGAGCTGATCCCACCCCGAGCCCAGAATTCCTCTGGGATTTTTGGGAATTTTTGGGAATTTTTGGGTATTTTTGGGAGCTTTTGGGAACTGGGGGGTGCTCACTGGTCCTGCTGGCGTTCTCGTTGCCGCTCTCGGGCCAGCCCTGGCCCTCGTCGGTGTCCGAGGGCTCGCGGTGGCCGAAGCGGCGCTCGCTGCTGCTGCGCTCCCGGCTGGAGCCCGGCGAGCGCCGGCGGCGCCGGTGCCGGCGGAAACCGCGGGGAACCGGCACCCCGATGTAGATGGAGTGGTAGTCTGGAACGGGAGAGGAAGGGGTTAAAAATATCTGTTTTTTGGGGGGGAAATGAGGTGGGTGGGGTGATGAACGCAGTAAAAATTCATTTTCCAGGGAGAAAAATTCCTGGTGGAAATTATTTGGGTGGAGAGATAATTGGAATAAAAATTTTTTTTAAATCTCCTCCAGGCCGTTCCCGGATTTCTCTCACCTTCCTCATCCCTATTCCCGGATTTCCCTCACCTTCCTCATCCTCGAATCTCCTCCGGCGCTCGCTCAGCCCATCCTCATCCTCCAGCATGGTCCGGCTGCTTGGGGGAGCTGCGGAAGGAGCGGGAACGGAGTTTTATGGGACCTGGGATTTTGTGGGATCTGGGATTTGAGTGGGATCTGGGATTTGAGTGGGATCTAGGACTTTAAAAGGATCTGGGATTTTGTGGGATCTGGGATTTGAGTGGGATCTGGGATTTGATGGGATGCGGGATTTTTACAGCATTTGGGATTTTATGGGATCTGGGATTTTATGGGATCTGGGATTTTAAAAGGATCTGGGATGTTATGGGATCTGGGATTTTGTGGGATCTGGGATTTGAGTGGGATTTAGGATTTTATGGGACCTGGGATTTTTATGGGATCTGGGTTTTTGATGGGATTTGGGATTGTGATGGGATCTGGGAACCTCCAGGAATTCCGGGCTGATCCCGCACATCCCAAAGGGATTTTCCCCATCCCTGATCCCACGTTTCCCAGGAATTTCCTGGAATTCCAGAGGTTATTCCACATTATTCCAGAGTGACCCCACACATCCCAAAGGGATTTCCCAGCCCAAATTTTCCTCTCCCCATTCCCAATCCCACATTTCCTTTCCCACTTAGATCCCGGTGGGACCTGTCAGGCTCGCTGCTGATGAGTTAATTAACGACTCCCTAATTAGCCGAGCTCCAGCGATGCCTTTCACACTCGGCTGCCCCGGCGTGGCTCTTTCCATTCCCAGCCGGTCGATGCCTCCAAAGTCACTCGGAGGGCAATCCCAGCGGCATTCCCGCATTTTCCAGAAAAACCCAAACCCGGCCAAAACCCCAAATCTGGCCAAAACCCCAAATCCAGCCAAAAACCCCAAATCCAGCCAAAAACCCCCAAAACCCACGGGAAACGGGAACAGCCGGAGCCACTGGGGCTGCAGGGCAGGAATTCCTGAGCCCTTTTCCTCAGGAAAATCTGCTTTATCCCAGTCCAGATTAAATCCAGTTTATCCCAGTCCAAATTTAATCCAGGTAATCTCTGTCCAAATTAAATCCAAGTTTTCCCAGTCCAGCTCAAATCCAGTTTATCCTAACCCAAATTAAATCCAGGTTATCCCAGCCCAAATGAAATACAGTTTATCCCTGTCAGTTTAAATCCAGTTTATCCCAAATTAAATCCAGTTTATCCCAGTCCAACTCCAGTCCCATCCCAGCTGAGATTTACATTTCCAAGACTGGGATTTTTTTCCATCAATCCGACGCTTTTGGCAGGAATTGATTTCATTTAGGGGCGAACAAATTCAGGGTTTTTCCTCTGGAGGGAATTTTAGGGTTTTTCTTCTGGCTGTTATAGGGATAAAAAACATTCCGGGGTGAACCCTGAGGACTTCAGGAAGCAGGAAAAGCAGGAAAAGCAGGAAAACACCCCCAGGAATATTTTTACTCCAAAAATGCCCTTTGAAAAGATGAACCCCAGGAAATCCCGGCAGGTCGGGGTTCCCAGGGATGGATTGGGGTACAAACCCTTCCAGCTGGGACAACGCCGGGAAAAGTGGGATTTTGTGGGATGAGCTGGGAAGCACAAAGCACCCCCGGGGTAAAGCCAGGCTTTGTTAGGCACGGCTAAATGGAAGCTCCAATCGATCCTGGGCTCGGATAATCTGGGGTTTTTCCCACAGGGAACTTTTCCCCCCTAAATCCCTAAAAAACAACCCAGAGCAGGAATTGGAGCTGGAAAAGCCAAGCGGGATTCCCTGGAACGCGGGCAGGGAGAGCAAACCCCAAAAAGGAGATTTCCCCTTCCCAACTCACCTGGAGCTCCCCAAAAGCGGATTTGGGATCGGGAGCGGGGTCAGGGAGCAGCGGGATCGCCGGAGCCGCTCTTCCCAACAGCCCAGCGACCCCAGAGCCCGGCCCCGATCCCGAGGGATCGATCGGGATCGATCGATCGGGGCCGGAGCGCAGAGGATCACGGGGGGAGGGAGGGGGAGCCCACGGAACCAGCCCCAGCAGGGACGGGAATTCCGTGTGGGACGTGGAAAATCCACCCCAAAACCCCCGAGCTGCGGGGCTGGGGCTTGCAGGGCTCTGGGGGATTTCTGTCCCTGTGGATTTCGGGTCGGGATTTCGGGATTTGGGAGGGGAACCCGGGTCTGGGTCGGGGGAATGGCAGGGAGTTCCTGCACTGGGATGATCCCAAATCCTGCACTGGGATGATCCCAAATGCTGCACTGGGATGATCCCAAATCCAGCACTGGGATGATCCCAAATCCAGCACTGGGATGATCCCAAATCCCCTCAGTGGGATGATCCCAAATCCCCTCAGTGGGATGATCCCAAATCCAGCACTGGGATGATCCCAAATCCAGAACTGGGATGATCCCAAATCCAGAACTGGGATGATCCCAAATCCAGAACTGGGATGACCCCAAATCCCTTCAGTCAGGATCCCAAATCCCAGAGAAAACAGGGAATAAAAGGGAATAAATGACCCAAGTCCCTCAGTCAGGATTCCAAATCCCAGAGAAAACAGGGAATAAAAGGGAATAAAAGCATTGAAAATCCCATATTCTAGAGAAAATGGAGAATAAAAGGGAATAAAATCAGTCATGATCCCAAATCCCAGAGAAAACAGTGAATAAAAGGGAAGAAAAGCATTGAAGATCCCAAATCCCAGAGAAAACAGGGAATAAAAGGGAATAAATGACCAAAGCTGATCCCGTTCCCAAATCCCCGGGGCCGGTGCCGGTGCCGTTGACGTGCCGGTTTTTATGGATGTTTCCAATATCGGATTTTACGGCACCACCGGGCTCGGGAGGCGCCGCTGCAGGAAAACGGGAATGAACCAGGCGAGGAGAAAGGAAAAAGTGGAATTTTCTCTCGGATGGAGATCCGGGAATCGCTGCCTTTGGAATTTAGGGAAGGCCGCTTCTTCCTGCTGGAATTCCAGCCTTCCCAGGCTTTTTGCTGTGGGTTTGAGCGCCCAGGGTGGGGAAATCCATGGAAAAGCCGCTCCCGTGGGGGGTAAATAAATCCCGAGGGCTTCGTGCAGAGAGGGAATCCAGAAAATTCCGGTGGGAATTCCATGGAATGGGACAGTCCCGAAGGCCCCTCCCGACCCGGAGCGATCCGTGCTTCCTCCAAACCCGACTCCTGCCTCCCGCGGAGAATCCCAAGGCTCAGCTCGGTCTCAAACCCAGCTCAGCCCGTGGGGTCTCCAGTGGTTCCTTGGGATCAGATTCCCACTGGGAACGGCCCCAAATCCTCCCGGGAAGCGAAGGGAAAGGACTCGGGAATGAAGGAAAAGCCTCAAAGTTCCTTCTTCACCCCATTTTCCAATGGAAAAAGGGCCTGGAATTCCATGGAGGTTTTCCCTTAGGGATGGGCTGTGCCTGACTCCAAATTCCCTTGGGAAAAATCCCTTTTCCATGGAAATCTGGGAACATTCCCCAATTCTGGCCGGATCCTGCTCACATTGGGAATGCCAAACCATTCCCAATTTTCCCAGAGTAAACAAAGCCCAAAGTCTTGGGGGTTTATTTTCCTTTCTTCCATTTTTTTTTTTTGGCTTTCCGTTCCCTAAACTGGGATTTCCGGAGAGTTCCGATGGAAAAATCCCGTCCGTTCCCTTCTCCCGCTCCGGCACCGCCCGGCAGCCGCGCGAGATTCCCCGGAGCCGTGGGGGAGATTGGAGAAGGAACAAATCCCAAATCAATCTTCCAAGGAAACCTTCCCCTGGCACAGGGAACGTTTTCCATCCCTGTCACCGGCACATGAAGCTGCCGACCCGGAGGACATCCGGCCACAGGAAAAATTCCGCGTTTTTCACGGAATGGAGTCGTCCATCTCCGGGATTCACGCTCCGGGGAGGGAACGGCCGCCCCCGCGCCAAGATGGATGGGACAGAGGAAAAATAATTCTGGGGATGGATGGGAGAGAAGGAAAAATAATTCTGGGATGGATGGATGGCAGGGACCGCCGGGATCCGCTCGTTTTCCTGGATGCGGCACTTTCTGCTTCCTGGGGGTGGGAAAAATCCCAGATTTTAAGGGAAAAAAAAGGGATTGCAGAGGTGCTGCTGCTGCTGCTGCTGTGGCACTGCAGGGCTGAGAGTGGCTGGGAATGATTCCGGGCTTGGAGCCGGGCTGGAGAGCTGGGAATGTTCTCCTGGAGAGGGGAAATTCCAGGGAATGTTCACCTTGAGAAGGATCCAGGAGAGCTGGGAATGTTCTCCTGGAGAGGGGAAATTCCAGGGAACGTTCACCTGGAGAAAGATCCAGGAGAGCTGGGAATGCTCACCTGAATTCCCACGGAATTCCCTCCAAATTTTGGCAGGATCCAGCCCAATCCATCTTCCAAGGGCTGAAATTTGGGAGCAGATGGGGAGGATGAGGAGGGGAGCGCTCGTGCTGGGATCCACCAGCATTCCCAAGATTTCCCAATTAACTCCGGACCCATCAGCATTCCCGGGATTTCCCAATGGACTCCAGCTCCATCAGCATTCCAGGGATTTCTCCACAGCATTCCCAATTAATGGCAATATTCCAGCTCCATGAGCATTCCTGGGATTTCTCCCCAGCATTCCCAATTATCAGCACCACCCCAGCTCCATCAGGGCTTGGATTCCTGCAGATTTCTCCCCATTAGTGCTCCAAATTAATTAGCATCTCCATTAACATTCCCAATTAGCAGCTTCATTAGCATTCCCAATTAGCACCTAATGGATTGGGATGAGATCACCTGGGATGGGCTGTCCCAGCCTTCAGTGCCACAGAAAACCGGGAAGAATCCCAAAATCCCAAAATTTGGGGTGTCCCTGGGACTGAAGGGCAAATCCCAACCTGAACAATTCCAGGATTCTGGGAGAGCTGGGAATGCTCACCTGGAGAAGGGAAATCCCAGAACATTCCAGAGCCTGAAGGGGCTCCAGGAGAGCTGGAGAGGGATTTGGGATGAGGGATGAAGGGACAGGGTTCAAAGTGGGAAATTTGAAATGGGATTTTGGGATGGAATCAGGGTGGCGGTCTCGGATGGAATTCCCAGAGCAGCTGGGGCTGCTCCTGGATCCCTGGGAATGTCCAAGCACCCTGGGAAATTGGGAATTGTCCCCGTGGCTGGCCCTGGATGGGATTTGAGGCCAGGAAATTCCCAAGGGATTTGGCTCTCCTGGTTCTTTTCCCGGAATTCTGGGGCTGGTTCCTGAAGGAACGAGGCCAAATCCATCCCAAGGTTTTGGTGCTTCCCAGGTTCCGGAGCCTTTGGTGAGGTCTCACTTCCCAAAAAACCTCCAAGGCAGAGCCGAGGGTTTTTCCCTCTTGGAAAAGCCATGGAAATCCCACGGATTCCTGGAGATTCCCTGGATTTTCCTCCTGGAGCAGCCTCCAGACCCAGCTTGGGGAGTTTGGGTGGGAAGGGGCCGTGAATCCCATCCCATCCCAAAATCCCAGGCTGCTCCAGCATTCCCCAAAAAAATTCCCCAAATTCCCTCCCTTGGCATTGAGGGGATTTTCCCCTCCCCGTCCTGAGGTTTTGGGGGTTTTTTTGGACCAAATTCTCCCAAAAAAAAACCACGGGAGTGGAAAAATACCCAAAAAGCTCCTGGGCTCCCTGCAGCCTTCTTCCCGGCAGGAATCTTCATCAAGGTCTTGATTAACAAGGAGCAAAAAATCTGCATCTCATTTGCATATCAGGCCAATTAAACCCCTTCACATTCCCCAGTTTTCCATTAAAAACCCTGGGAATTCTCCTGGAATTCTCCTGGCTGCTGCTCCCGGAGAGCCGAGCTCAGCAGAGTTTGGGACTTTTCCCAAACTTCCTCCAAAATCCTGGCTGGGAAATTTGGGATTTTCCAGGATCCCGAGGTTCCGTCCCGGCCCAGAATCCCAGGAGCAGGAGCAGCCTCAGGAATTTCCCGCAAAATTTTGGGGTTGGATCAAAGAAATTTTAAGGAAAATTTTGCTCTGGGAAATTTTGGAGGGGATTTTCCTGGAATTTTGGGGGTTTTCCCTGCTCACCCCGAGGACAATGGGGCAGAGAGGATTTCCTGGAATTTTGTGATTCCCTGGAAATTTTGGGATCGCATCCCTGAATTCCAATCCCATTCCCTGCATCTCCACTTCCCAATTTTTCCCTGCTCCCAGGGAAGCCAATGAGTTAAAAAAAAAGGGAATTTTTCCCATTTTTCCCCATTTTAGAGGGGTTTGGCCATGGCTGGGATCCATCCCCACTTCCACACTTTAATTCCAAGGGACAAATCCGTCTTTTCCCCAGGCAGGGATGGATTTGGTGGCTCTCAGCCATCCCAAAAAATCCCCAAAATCCCCAACCAGCCCCTCAGGGAATTCTCTTCCTGTCAGGATAAATAGGGATCAAATCCTACAGCTACAAAGGGGAAAAAATCCAATTATAAAATCTCTTTTTTTCCTGCAGGGAAGATAAAAAAATTCCAATCAAAGTCATACCGATTTCTCCACGGAATAAAAACGAGCCAGGTCCGGAGCAGCTCCTCCCTCCCCATGGAAAACAATCGGAATTGGAGATTCCCCCCCCAAAAAAACCTCAGAATTTTCCAGGGAAAACCCTGGAATGGCCAGGAAAGGCTGGAGTGCTTGGAAAAGCAGGGAAAAAGGGATTTTTCCCATTTTTTAAGCACCAAACTCATCCAGGAGCAGATTCTGGGATGTTTTTCCCTCTACTCCCATTTTCCAAGGAAAAGCAGGAAAAATTCTTGGGATCCTCCTGCTCTGCTCCATCCCAGGCAATTCCATAGTCAGGAATGAGAATTTAATTTTTGGGAATGACGATGGAATTTTTGGAAATGACAGTGCCATGGTCAGGGATAAAAATTCAATTTTTGGGAATAACCATTCTGTTTTTGGGAATGACAATGGAATTTTTGGGAATGACCATCCCATTTTTGGGAATGACCATCCCATTTTTGAGAAAAACCATCTTGTTTTTGGGAATGACAATGGAATTTTTGGGAATGACGATCCCGTCTCCAGGAACGCCAATGGAATTCCAGGAATGCCAATGGAATTCCCGGGAATCCCCCGTCCCACCTTGCTCCAAAGATGATCTCCAGGAGGATCAGCAGCCGCTCCGTCAGGAAGATCAGCAGGAGCACCCGGAACTGGAACGGGGAAAGGACGGATGATCTCAAATCCGTGTCCCACAGGGACACCAGGAATTCCTCACTGGAATTCTGGGTTTTCCTGGAATTTGGGCCAAAATTCCACCTTGGTGTCCCCTGTGTGTCACCGTCCATCCCGGAGGGGGGGATTGGGAGGGATCGGGAAGGGATTGGGAACAGACTGGGAAGGAGATTGGGAAGGGATCGGGAATGGATCAGGAAGGGACAGGGAAGGGATCAGGAAAGATTGGGAAGGGATCAGGAAGGGATTGGGAAGGAGCCCGAGGGTCTCCCCCCGCACAAAGCTCCAAACAAATTCCAGATTCCTTGGAGAAACTTCCCGAGGAAATCGTTCTCCGGCCCTGGATGCTGAGTCAGGCAGAGCCGCTCGGTTCCGATTCAATTAACGCGGCCGCTAACGAGCTGATCCATCCCAGTCCCGCAGGAGCCCGGGATTGATGAATCCTCCCGGGAGCTGCTCCTTCCCTCCCTTAACGAGCTCCGAGCTTTTGGTCCTCGTTAATTATTCCCAAATCAGACATTCCAGCCCGAGACACCAAATTTGGGGTTCATTCCCGTCCCTCCGGAGCAGATTTGAGGTTAATTCCTGTCCCTCTGGAGCAGATTTGGGGTTAATTCCGTCCCTCTGGAGCAGATTTGGGGTTAATTCCTGTCCCTCCAGAGCAGATTTGGGGTTAATTCCTGTCCCTCTGGAGCAGATTTGAGGTTAATTCCTGTCCCTCTGGAGCAGATTTAATTCCCATCCCTCCAGAACAGATTTGGGGTTAATTCCCATCCCTCTGGAGCAGATTTGGGATTAATTCCTATCAATTCCTGTCCCTCTGGAGCAGATTTGGGATTAATTCCTATTAATTCCCGTCCCTCCGGAGCAGATCTGGGGTTAATTCCTGTCCCTTTGGAGCAGATTTGGGGATAATTCCCGTTCCTTTGAAGCAGATTTGGGGTTAATTCCTGTTAATTCCCGTCCCTCTGGAGCAGATTTTGGGTTAATTCCCATCCCTCCGGAGCACAAATCCTGTGGGTTGGGGCTGGGGTTGGGGTTCCAGGCCATCGATCCCGATCCCGGGATTTGGGATTTGGGAGCGGCCGTTCCTGTGGATAAACGGGAGCGGAGGCGGGAGATGGATAGAGCTGTCAGCTCCATCTGAGCGGGCACAAATCATCGCAATTCCAGCGGGAATTCCACTGCTCCGGGGAGAAACCAGGGGAGAAACCAGCCCAGCTCCCAATGAACACCAATCCCAGATCCTTTGGACAAAAATCCAGGGTTAAACATCAATCCCAGATCCTTTGGACAAAAATCCAGGGTTAAACACAAATTCCAGATCCCTTAAAACACAAGTCCAGGTTTAAACACCAATCCCAGATCCTTTGGAATGCAAATTCAGGTTTAAACACCATCCCAGATTTTTTTGACACAAATTCAGATACTTTTAAACATGGACCTGGATCCTTTTAAATCCAAATCCTGATCCTTTTAAAGATCAGGATCCCAGATCCTTTAAAACACAGATCCCAGATCTTTTTAAATCCAAATACCAATCCCTTTAAATCCAAACCCAGATCCTTTAAAACACAATTTCCCTGTTTTTCCATGAAAATCCCAAAAGCTGCAGCTGCCAGGCCCAGCTCAGCTCCAGGAGCTGCTCCAGGGCCTCTTTCCCTGCTCACTTTTGTTCCCGGGAATTCTCCTGGAAGGGCCAATTCCCGACCCCACAAGGGCTCTGATTGCTGCCTCCTCTTCCTGTCCTCAGAATTCCCGGCTTTTCACTGCCCCATTCCCAAAAAACCGGCTGCCCTGGAATTCTCCTTTCCTTGGGAATTCTCTTTTCCTTGTGAATTTGCATCCCGGGATGGACTTCGGGAGGGAAAATACTGTGCAATTCCCTCCATGGAATTTCCAAACCATGGAGATTACTCCAGATCCATGGAACTCCCAAACCATGGAGGTGACCCTGGATCCATGGAATTCCCTCCTTAAGACCTCCCAGACATGGTTTGGACTTGGAATCCATGGAATTCCCTCCCAGGGATCCCTCAGACATGGAGATGACCCCGGATCCAATTTTCCAGAAAATGGCGGAAAATAGGGGAAAAATAGGGGAAAAAAATAGGGGAAAATAGGGAAAAAACAGGGAAAAATCAGGGAAAAACGTACTGAGAAGAGCATGGCGTAGGCAGAGAGCGCGAATTTGATGCCGTAGGAATAAAAGTGGGAATCGCGGCAGGTCCGGGCCATCCTCGGCTCTTCCCGGCTGGAATTCCTGCAGGAATTGGAACTCCCGGCTCTTCCCGGCTGGAATTCCTGTGGGGAATTTGAACTTGGGACCGATTTCCGCCCGCAGGGGCCGAGCGCGGCCGCGTTAACTCTTTAAAGGCTCCGCCTTTCCAGCTCCCATTCCCACATTCCCAGCTCCCATTCCCATTCCCACATTTCCATGTCCTAGTCCCAGCTCCCATTCCCAGTTCCCAGCTCCCATTCCCACATTCCCATTCCCTCATTCCCAGCTCCCATTCCCAAATTCCTATTCCCAGCTCCCATTCCTTCATTCCCAGTTCCTATTCCCAGTTCCCATTCCCAAATTCCCAGCTCCCATTCCCATGTTTTTAGGGAATGCTGCCATCCAGCAGCATTCCCGGGATGGAGCGGGAGGAGCGCCCGGCCCCCCTGGGAACGCCGGGAATTTATTCCCACCTGGAATAAACCCCGGGATCGCTCTGGGAGCGAAGAATTCCAGCGGCTCCCCCACCCCTCGCTCAGCTCCCAGCCCGAATTCCTCCGGGATTTACCTGGGAGCGGCTCCGCGGCCCCAAATCCGGGATTTGGGATCGCCCGCGGCCGCACCGGAGCAGCGAGGAGAAGGAGAAGCGGCGGCGCATCCCGAGGGAGCGGCAGAATTCCCGAGGGGAAAGCGCTCCTGGCAGAATTCCCGGCAGCGTTCCTGGCAGAATTCCCGACTGGAGCAGCAGGGCCGGCGTGGATCTGGCAGCAGCAGAGTTCAAATCCCTGGATACGATCCGGGCTGCGGGAAGGGACAATTCCCTGATCCCAGTTTAATTAAATTAACTGGGGAGATGAGGGAATTTCAGGGAGAGGGAATTTCATGGAGAAGGATTTTCATGGAGAGGGAATTTCATGGAGAGGGAATTTCCAGCCCTTTTTTGGGGAGGCTGAAAAGGCTCGGGATAAATAAAAATAAAATCAATCAATAATCGATAAATCACCGATAAAACCCCGGAGCTTTACCGCTACCGGGATCTTGACATTCCCGCTGATTTTGGGATCGGGCCCCAAAAGTGCCGGGGAGATTTGGGGGGGGGGGAAAGGTGGGAAAGGGGATGGGGGGAAGGGAAATTTGGGATGGGGAAAGGCGGAGGAGCCGCTGCCAGCGGAGGTCGGAACGGCGGCGGCGGCGGCGGAGCCCCCCGGGAACGGGGAGGGGACGGAGGGGGACAAGGGGGGACCGGGGAAGGGGACAGAGGGGAGCGGGGGGTCCAAGGGGAGGGGACAGAAGGGACCGGGGACGGGGGAGGGCTGTCCCCGGCTGGCTCTGCCCTCCCCGCTCTGGCACCGCCCGCGCCGCCCATAAAAGCGCCGCTCCTGCCTCGCCCGCCGCAGTCGGGTCCGCGGCACCGGCTGCGCCCCGAGCCCGCGGCTGGGCCGGGCCGAACCGGGGCGGCCGGGACCGAGCGGGGATCCGCATCCCGAACCGGAGAATCCGCATCCCGAACCGGCTGCATCCCGAACCGAGCCGGGATCCGCATCCCGAACCGGAGAATCCGCATCTCGAACCGGGGGATCCGCATCCCGAACCGAGCGGGGATCCGCATCCCGAACCGGGGAATCCGCATCCCGAACCGGCTGCATCCGGAACCGACTTCATCCCGAACCGGGGGGAACCCGCATCCCGAACCGGGGAATCTGCATCCAGAACCGGCTGCAGCAGGTACCGAGAGGAACCGCACCCCGAACCGGCTGCTTCCCGAACCGACTGAATCCCGAACCGGGAGGGATCCGCACCTGCTCCGCTGCCCCTGCAGCCCAGGCTGGTGCCGAACCGGCCAGAACCCGCATCCCGAACCGGCTGCATCCCGAACCGGTAGGAATCCGAACCCTGGGGAAGCCGCAGCCGAGCCCGGAGGGACCCGGACCCTGAACCAGCCCCGCACGCTGAGCCAGCCGTGCCTGAACCGGGCGGATCCTGCACCCCGAACCGGGCGGGACCCGCACCCCGAACCGGGCGGGACCCGCACCCCGAACCGGGCGGATCCCGCACCCCGAACCGGGCGGGACCCGCACCCCGAACCGGGTGGGTCCCGCACCCCGAACCGGGCGGATCCCGCACCCCGAACCGGGCAGAACCCGCACCCCGACCCAGCCGTGCCATGGCTGTGCTCCCAGCTCCGGCTGCCCCTGGACACTGGAGGGACCAGAACCCCAAATCCGCTGCACCCTGACGGGTTCTGCACCCCAAACTGGGAGGTGCCCATGCCCTGAAGCAGCCACGCACCCCAAAGTGGCTGAGTGAGGAGATTCCTGCACCCCAAAACTGGCTGTGCACTGATCCTACTGCATCCTAAACTAGTGGGGCCCTGCACCCCAAAGTGGCTGATCCAGGTGCTCCCTGCACCCCGACCTTGCTGATCCAGAGGTCCCTCACCCCAGTCTTGCTGATCTTGAGGTCCTTCACCCCAGTTTTGCTGATCTGGAGGTTCCTGCACCCCAATCTTGCTGATCGAGGAGATTCCTGCACCCCAGTCTTGCTGATCTGGAGGTCCCTCACCCCAGTTTTGCTGATCCAGAGGTCCCTCACCCCAATCTCACTGATCTGGAGGTCCCTCATCCCAAAGTGGCTGATCCAGGTGGTCCGTCACCCCAGTCTTGCTGATCCAGGAGATTCCTGCACCCCAATCTTGCTGATCCAGAGGTCCCTCACCCCGATCTCCCGGGGCCATGGATGAGTCCCCGCCGCTGGCGGCCGAGCTGGAGCTGGAGCCCCTCAACGCCTCCCTGAACGAGTCCTGGGCCAACCCGTTCGTGCAGCCGCCGTGGCAGGTGGCCCTGTGGGCCGTGGCCTACGCCCTGATCGTGGTGGTGGCCGTGGTGGGCAACGCCGTGGTCATGTGGATCATCCTGGCGCACAAGCGGATGCGCACGGTCACCAACTACTTCCTGGTGAACCTGGCCTTCGCCGAGGCCTCCATGGCCGCGCTCAACACCGTGGTGAACTTCAGCTACGCCGTGCACAACGAGTGGTACTTCGGGCCCGCCTACTGCCGCTTCCACAACTTCTTCCCCATCGCCGCCGTCTTCGCCAGCATCTACTCCATGACGGCCATCGCGCTGGACAGGTCAGTGACGGGGCCGGCGCTGGCCGGAGCCTGGGGACGGGTCAGTGACCAGGGTGGGATGGTCCCTGCCCAGTTCCTGCCAGATCTCAGATCCCACTAGGCCATGAGCCAAAGCTCTGCTGGATCCCAAGTGATCCCACTGGAGCTGTGATCCCAAGTGATCCCACTGGAGCTGTGATCCCAAGTGATCCCACTGGAGCTGTGATCCCAAGCTCCATTGGATCCCAGATCCCGCTGGATCACGATCCCAAGCTCAGCCGGATCCCAGATCCCACTGGAGCTGTGATCCCAGATCCCACTGGAGTTGTGATCCCAGATCCCACTGGAGTTGTGATCCCAGATCCCACTGGAGCTGTGATCCCAACCTCAGCCGGATCCCAGATCCCACTGGATCATCATCCCAAGCACAGCCAGATCCCACTGGATCATGATCCCAAGCTCCGTTAAATACCAGATCCCACTGGATCATAATCCTAAACACAGCCGGATACCAGATCCCACTGGATCATAATCCCAAGCACAGCCAGATCCCAGATCCCACTGGACCATGATCCCAAGCTCCGTTAAATCCCAGACCCCACTGGATCATGATCCCAAGCTCAGCCGGATCCCAGTGGTACTGGGGGGTCCCAAATCCCCGGAACTCGCAGGAAGTCTCCATTCCCTTCCCGGGAATTTGGGGACATTTCCCCCTGGAGCCCCAGGACAAATCCCAGCTCCGGAGCTGCCCCGTGGCTCCCTCCTGTTCCCAGGCTCTGCCTCCTCTCCCTGTTCCCAGGGAATAAAGGGAATTCTGGCCGGGATCCGGGGGGGAGGACTCTTTTCCTGCCCTTTTCCAGCGCCGCTGGCTCCAGGATTCCCTGCAGGAAGCAGGGCTGGGGGTGGATGAGGCTCCCTGGGCATTAAAAACAGCCTCAGGTTTGGTTTTGTCACCGAATCCTCTCCCTAAAATCCATGGAATTGAGGCAATCAATAAAAACCGGCATATTTCCAGTTCCTCTCCCACGGTGTGGTTCCAGGAGGATCCTTGGGATCAGCTGGAAAAGCCCCTCTGGAGCTGGGATTAATTCCAGGGATTATTTTTTGGGGTGAACAATTTAATTTACAGACTTTGATCCATGCCAAAAAAAAAACAAAACAGGAGAGCAAACCCAGGGAAGCTGCAGTAAAACAGGGAGGTCTGGGAGGCTGGGGCTGGAATTTTTCGAGGATTAGCATTCCCAAAAAATCTTCCTGCACCTCAAACCCTGAAGAGAGGCTCAGTTTTCCCAAAAAACCCAGGCTCCCACCTGGAAGCTGCAGCCTCCATGTGGTGCATCCCAAATTCCAGCCAGGAATGGGGAAGGGAACCAATCCCAAATCCCATCCTCAGCCCCTCCAAAGCTTGGGAAAATTCCTCGTTTTCCTCTGGCTGGGAGCTGACAATGGAGCTGAAAGGCAGGAAAAGCTGGAATGAGTTCCAGGAGCCTGGGAGGGAGAATTCCCAGTTCCCAGAGCTGGAACTGGGAATGGGCAGAGCTGGAACTGGGAATGGGAATGGGGAGAGCTGGGAATGGGAATGGGAATGGGGAAAACTGGGAATGGGATTGGGAATGGGGAGAGCCAGAACTGGGAATGGGGAGAGCTGGGAATGGGAATAGGGAGAGCTGGGAATGGGACTGGGAATGGGGAGAGCTGGGAATGGACAGAGCTGGAATTGGGAATGGGCAGAGCCAGAGCCAGGATTTGGAACGGGCAGATTTCAGAATTCTCAATTGGGGCTAGAATTCCCAATTCCCACCAAAAATCAGGGAAGCAGCATGGAACGAGCCTCGTGTTCCCAAAGTCCTGGATGGGCTGGGATTGGGAAGGATCTCAAATCCCACCCAGTGCCACCTTCCCTATCCCAGGTCGCTCCAGACCCTCCAGCCCTTCCTGGCACTTCCCAGGATCCAGGGGAACCCACAGCTCCCCTGGAATCCCCAGTGGGATTTTCTGTGGGATCCATCATGGATCTGTGCGGGATTTTCGCTGGAAGTTCCTCCATCCCCTCCTTCCCCTGGAGCTGCTCCAGCCCTGGGCACGAAAGAAAAACAGCCGGAAGTTGTTCCGAACACTCAGGACAATGGCAGGAAATTCGGGATCGGGGCTGGCACTGCGGGAAGTGCCTCAGGAAAATCCCAAAGAATTCAGAGCCCTGCAGCTCCCTCGGCTCCCAAATTCCTGCCCCATCCTTTGTTTTCCCAAAGGGAACCCTGGGATTTTCCAGCTCCCATTCCTGCTCTTCCCAATTTCCAGCCATATTCCTGCTTTTCCCAGAGGGAACCCTGGGATTTTCCAGATCCCATTTCTGCTCTTCCCCAAGATGGAACTCCAGGATTTTCCAGCCACATTCCCACTTTTCCTAAAGGGAATACTGGCATTTTCCAACCCCGATTCCCACTGTTCCCAAAAGGAACCCTGGGATTTTCCATCCCTGATTCCTGCTGTTCCCAGAGCCAGAACCCTGGTACTTTCCAGCCCATATTTCCACTCTTCCCAAAACAAAGCCCAGGATTTTCTGGCCATATTCCCACTGTTCCCAGAGCCAGAACCCCGGGATTTTCCAGCCCTGATTCCCGCTGTTCCGAGGCCAGAACCCTGGGATTTCTCAGCCCCGATTCCCGCTGTTCCCAGGCCAGAACCCCAGAATCTCCCAGCCCCGATTCCCGCTGTTCCCAGGCCAGAACCCCGGGATTTCTCAGCCCTGATTCCCGCTGTTCCCAGGCCGGAACCCCAGAATCTCCAGCCCCGATTCCCGCTGTTCCGAGGCCAGAACCCCGGGATTTCTCAGCCCCGATTCCCGCTGTTCCGAGGCCAGAACCCCGGGATTTCTCGGCCCCGATTCCCGCTGTTCCCAGGCCGGAACCCAGGATTTTCCAGCCCCGATTCCCGTTTTTCCCGCACAGGTACATGGCCATCATCCACCCGCTGCGGCCGCGCCTCTCGGCCGCGGCCACCAAGGCTCTGATTGGGCTGATCTGGCTGCTGGCGCTGCTCCTGGCCTTTCCCCAGGGATATTTCTCCGTCACCGCCGAGCTCCCGGGACGCCTCGTCTGCCTCGTGGAGTGGCCGGAGCCCGGCGGAGCCATGTCCGGGAAAACGTGAGTGGGAACAACGGGAAAAACGGGCTGGGAGAGGGGAATTCCACTCTGGAATTCTGCTGGAGCCAGGGCAGGTGTGAGGTCCAGGAGCGGCCAGTGTCAAACCCTCCCTGTATCCTTTGTCACCTCATTCCCAGAGTGGCATCGTTCCATTCCAGAATATTCCCAGATTCCCAGCCCGGAATGAGGCAGCTGCTGATTGGGACAGAACATTCCGGTGGCTTTTCCAAAGGCTGATCCCAAAGGAAAACGTCGCCGCTAAATCCACAAAGGATCTGCATCCCATGCTCCAGGAAACTGGGAAACTGGGAAAATTGGGAAAACTGGGAAAGGAGATCCCCAGCAGCTTCAGGATGGCAAATCCCAAAGAATTTTGGGATTGGGAGGAACTCGCGGCTCGGTGGCGTCTCCACTCTCGGGAATCCCGGGATGGGATTTTCCTGCCCTAAATAACTCGGGACAGGTGTTTGGGTCATTCCAGAGGCGTCATTCCAGCCCCTTCCCCGCTCCACGGCCTCCGAGTGGATATTCCGGGAACGCTGCGGTGGCAGCTGCTCCGTTTGTGGCGCCAGGAGGAAAAAATTCCATTCTTTTTCCAGTTCCCAGAGAAAACAGGAGGAAAAACCAGGGAAAACAGGGAATTCCCACACTGTGGGGGAATTCCTCTGGAAAACCTCTGGGGAGCACAAGCCCAGTGTGCAGAGAGTACCAGAGCTGGATTTTCCCTGGAAAACATCCCAGAGCTGAGAATTAATTCTGTGGGATTCCATCTGGCCATTGATCCCAGCTTCCCAACGGGATCAGGAATTCCATTTGGGGTTTTGAGGGGAGGGAGAAGCCGCCCCTGGATCCTGTGGGAATGCAGGGATGTCCCTTCCATGCCAACAGTCCCGGGATTCCCAGGGAAAAGGAGGCAGCAGCTCCATCCTCCATCCCGCACCAGATCCTAAAACCCTTCCAGCTGCAAACCCCAAATCTCCTGGAGTGCTGCGATCCCGGGAATGCTGCAGGCAGAACAATTCCC